ATTTGCTAGGAGTTTTTTTTTATTGTTACTGCTTCAATTTCATTAGTTGTCTACTTAGGTTTTCTGATCCTTCCTGATTTATAGAAGATTGTATGTTTTGAGGAATTTGTCCATTTTGTCCAGATTGTACAGTTTGTTGGCATATAGTTGTTCATAGTATTTTCTTACAATTCTTTGTATTTCTGTGATGTCAGTAGTTACTTTGCCTCTCTCATTTCTGATTTTATTTATTTGGGTCCTCTCTCATTGTTTCTTGATGAGACTGGCTAAAGACTCACCAATCTTGTTTACCTTTTCAATGAACCAGCACTTGGTTTCATTGGTCTATTTTATTGTAGGATTTTTTTTTTTTTAGTTTATGTATCATTTATTTCTGCTCTAATATTTATTATTTCCTTCCACTTACTCTGGGCTTTTCTTGTTCTTTTTCTAATTATTTTTTTTAATTATAGGGTAAGATTGTTTATGGGAGATGTTTCTTGAGGTAGTCCTGTAATGCTATGAACTTCCCTCTCAGGACTACTTTCCCTGTGTCCCATAGATTTTGAGTTGTTGTATGTTCATTTTCATTTGTTTCCAAGAATTTTTTTATTTCTTCCTTGAACTCATTGGTAACCCATTCATTGTTTAATACCATGCTATTTAGCTTCCATGTGTTTGAATGTTTTTACTATAGTGATTTGTAGTTTCATGCCATTGTGACCCAAGAAGATACTTGATATGATTTCAATCTTCTTGGACTTGATGAGACTTATTTTGTGTCCTATCATGTGGTCTATTTTTGAGAATGTTCCATGTGCACTTGAGAAGAATGAATATTTTGTTGCTTTGTAAATATCAATTAAATCCATCTTATCTAGTGCATAGTTTAAAGTCACTGTTTCGTTATTGATTTTTTGTCTGGAAGATCTCTCCTCTGGGGTGTTAAAGCCCCTTAATATGACTGAATTGCTATCAATCTCTCCTAAGAGTCCTTCAAGAGGTTTTTTTAATGTATTTAGGTGCTCCTATATTGGGTGTATATATGTTTATAAGGGTTATATCCTGTTGTTGGACTGTATTATGTAGTTTCCTTTAGTATTATGTAGTGCCTTTCACTGTCTCTCAATATAGCCTTTATTTTAAAGTCTATCATCCTATATAATAAAAACATAGTATGCAAATTGTCCCTTCGACCAGGAGGTCATCTGGGAGTTTGACCAAGGGGCGGGGCTTGCCGGGGGAATGGGGGGAGGCCCCAGCTGGTGGTGGCGGTGGCAGCAGGCGAAGGCAGCAGGGAAAGGGAGGGAGTACCCGGCCAGCCACCAGCAGCCGCTAGGGACCCTACCAGTGCACTGTTTTCATGCACTGGGCCTCTAGTGTTAGATATATAAGTATTGCTACCCCAGCTTTTTTTTTTCTTTAATTTCCATTTGCATAAAAAGTTTTTCATCCCTTCACTTTCATTCTGTGTAACTCTTTTGTTCTGAGGTGGGTCTCTTGTAGACAGTATATCTATAGGTCATGTTTTATCAATTCAGCCACCCTATGTCTTTTGGAGTACTTAACCTATTTACATTTATGGTTATTATCAATAGCTACTTATTTATTGACATTTTTATTCCTCATGCCTATGTACCGCTCTCTATCCCCACCCCTTTCCCTCCAGACCTTCTCCTCTATCCCCTCCTCCTCCTTCTTCCAGCAATCCCTTTAACAATTCTTGAAATGCTGGTTTGGTGGTAATAAATTTTAGCTTTTTTTGGGGGGGTGCGGGGGAGGCGAGGGAGGAGATTAGGAAGATCTTTATTTCACCTTTAATTTTGAATGATAGCCATTGTGGATAGAGTAGTTTTGGTTTCAGATCCTTGCTTCTCATTACCTTGAATACCTTATGACATTCCTTTCTCACATATAGTATTTCTGTTGAGAAATCAGCTGACAACCTAATGTAAAGTCCTTATAGATAACTATCTCTTGCTGCCCTTAAGATTTCTCTCTTTGTCTTAACGTTTGCCATTTTAATTATGATGTGTCTTGTTGTGGTCTCTGTGTGCTTTGGAACCTGTGTGGCTTTTACCTTCACCAGGTTCCACTAGTTTTCTGTAATTATTTCTTCTATCCCTTGCTCACTTTCTTTACTCTCTCTGGTTACCCTAAGATGCGAGTGCTACATTTCATGTTGTCTTAAAGTTCCCATAAACTATCCTTGTGCATTTTAATTATTTTTTTCTTTTTGCTGCTGATTGTTTTTCCTACCTTGTCTTCTAATTCACTGATTTAATCCTCCAAGTCCTTCAATTTATTGTTTATTCTTTCCAGTGTATTTTTATTTCAGCTATGTCATTCTTCATTTCCAACTGGTTGTTTTTCATGGTTTCTATGTCCTTTTCCATGTCGTTGAGTATTCTTAAAACCATTACTTTGAACTCTAATAAATTGCTTGCCTCCATTTCATTTAGCTCTTTTCCTGGAGATTCCTACTATTCTTTCGTTTGGGGCCTGTTTCTTTGTTTCACCATTTTTGCTGTTTCTTTGTGTTTGTTTCCATGCATTAAAGACTACTGCTATGATTCACAGTTCTGGTGGGATTTTGCTCTGATGCTGTCCAAATCCGGCCTCTTGGTGTTCCAGTCCAGGGCCTCCCAGAAGGTTCTGCAGTGCAAGTTAATGCCAGTCGCTGTCCCTTCCTGGCCCTCAGCAATCTGGTTGAAGCCTGGCAGGACGGAGCCCCCAGTAGTCCCATGGGCGGAGGCTCCATAGCCCAGAGGCTGGGTCTGCCTCTGGTGTCACACCTTGAATGTCTCTGTTCACAGCTGCTCTCCCTTCCCCCATAGAACTGGGGTCTGTGGGGTAACCTGGACCTGGCCAGGGTGGTTTAAACACACTTGCATTGGGGTTGGTGCCCACAGTCTGTAGGGTAGGGCAGATACTTCCTCTCCTTCCAAGGACTGCACTGGCTGAACTCACCCGGGAGACAGGGTCACAATACCTCATCTATGCCTGGCTCCCTGGCACCCCCTCCCCGCCACACCAAGCAGGAGGGCATAGAATAAAATCAACCCAGCTCAGCACTCCAATCTTTCAGCACATCCAGCCCCCACTGGTTGGGGATTCCACCCATTTTCCTACCAGGCCAAATGTCCAAGTCCTCTGTGCCATCAGACATAGCCATAGCCATAGAGGTGCAGAACCAGGATCGGGAACACCCAGCTGTTTTGCAGGTGGGGGGAGGATGACTGCCTGTCTGCTCGAGTTGGGCTAGATCTATGCTCTTTCCCACACCACTGTCCAGCCCGCTTCTGGCTCTCTCCCCAAAGTTCTTTCAGAGAATAAAGGGCTCCTCAAATTCACTTCTGGGTGTACCAATCAGACCCCTCTGCTGGCCCTGGTCTTTGCCACATGGCCCTTCCCACAGACACAGATCTAAGTGGACTTCCCAGGCTGGTATCATAACAAAGAAATCACTCTTTGTCTGGGATGGTGCGGTCTGAAATTCCCAGGTAGACTGAATCCCCAATGATTCCCACTGCCTGATGCTACACAGGCTCCCCTTCCCTTCTCTGTTGCTCTGGATTGAGGAATCTCTTCCTGGGGCTGAGACCTCACACTCCCAGGGGCTGGAGGCTCCAAAGCTACACTTTTCCTCAGGCTTCCCTGCCATGCAGGTGCACAAGTTGGCTCACCCTCTATGTGTCTCCTGTCCTTTCTTCACATTCCCTGCCTACAATACTTCAGATCATCTACACTTCAGCTGATTTTCAAGCTGAACACTCTGCAGTTTATCCACAAATCCATTGTGGAGTTTGGAACAAGTGGATGAAGCTTCCAGCTACTCTGCAGCATCTGAGAATCCTGATCTCTTTTAGTAAATATTGAAATTTTAAATGTTTTCTTTTGCATTGTATTTGTCCCAAGATAATGTCTTTGAATCTATCCTCTAATTCACTCCTCTCTTCCTTCGCTGTGACTTATCTACAATTTAAACCATTTTTGAGTCTAATTTTTTTCCTCATGTTGAGTTCTATTTAGTTCTTCTGCATAGATGTTCAGTATGTGACAGTATATTGTCATTGTTAATGATTCCAATGCCCTCTCTTCTTTTTTTTTAAATTTTGTTTTATTGCTTAAAAATTACAAAGAGTAGTACATATTTACATACTTTAAGCAGACTTATTTTATAAGTCAATGGTTGATGATTTCAATATTTTAAGTAATAGGTACTTATACTTATTAATTTTTTCCTCACTGATGCCTGATTGCTAGTTTGTACAATTTGGAATTTCTCTGTATGTCTTGTAAGTCAGAACTGTGTGCTTATGTTTGTTTACCTGTGAGAACCAGAAAGCCTGGGTAAAAAGCATTTCATACCAGATAATTTGCCTTTGCTTTCACAGGCTCTGAGCTACTAACCAAACTAAGTTATTTTTCTAGTTAAGAATTTCTTAGAACTTCCTTATATTTTTGTCCCTGTTTTTGTGAGAGCTAAGTACCTTCTTCTTATGGTACCTTTATGTACCTTGCCTTAAAATTGTTTGGAATAAGTTGGGATGTCTATAAAAAAAATATCTATAATTGAGACAAAGAAAATATCTATAATTGGGAGATTAGAAAGGGAAGTAGATGAATAATCACAACCTCAGCGGAGGAGTTTAAATGTATTAAAATGCTGCTGAAAATTACAACAGCAGTGGTTTAGAGTCTATTATTCACTCTGTGGAGGTAAAAATAACCATGTTGCAGTTAAAAACGAAGGCATGAAAAACACAAATTAATCCAGTGGAACCAAACAAACTATTCTTCAACATTTATAACAATAATTCTAACTACAAAGTATAGGTCAATATTATTTATGTCCAAACTATTTCTTTAGCATACAAACTAAAAGCCAGATTAAATAAAAAACAAAGGAAAAAAATCAGATTTTCTATCAAAGCCTGGTACATTTTTGTATATGGTCCTTGGAAAACTACACATTTCATTTTTTATTCTGGTTATTAAAATACCAGGGCTAAACATACCTGGCTATGTAACTCTCACCATATGTTTTTCTCTTGCTTGTAAGGACACCTGAGGCAGGATTTCGTGCCAAACTAGGTGGTGTGGAATTTCGAGGTTTGATGTTAGCGCTAGAAAGGGAAAAAGGTGGCAATGAAAAAGTATTGAATAATAATCATTTACTTCTCAAACTGCTATTTGCATGATTAGAAAAATAATCAGAAACTGTAGACAGATTAAGTCAAAAGATTAAAATTCAAATAATTATTTTTAAATGGAAAACAATAGTAGTTAAAACTAAAGATAAGCCAACGCATTTTGCATTTACTAACATTCTCTTGATGGTATATAAAATCAATGAAAATATGTATATATGCTTTACATGAAATGTTTAAGTTAATCATTCTGAAAATCTTCAAGCTATCTACAGTTTAATATCGACAGTTCCCTCAAAATAAAGATGTGGTTTGTTAAATGCCTACAAATAATTTTTAAATAATATGTTAAGCATATGAGATGTGATAAAAAAAAAAAAACCACAGCTAAACACTTTAAACATTAGCTAGCTATTTTAAAAAGTAATATTCAATATATGAAAATCTGTTGTGAGGAATATCAACTCAAATAAATGGGTTAATACAATTTTCCCTTTAAAAACTTAATTTCACTAACTACACAGTCTGGGCTATCACTGTCAGTAGTGGAAAAGTTTTGGTGAGGACATCCCTGATTCCCTTTCTGAGACTTCAGGAATCCAAGGAAAATAAGGTGGTCGTATGACAGTTAATGGTGAAAGGACAGGTTCTGAGATGCAGATGAATCTGCATTCAAATCCCAACTGCTATAACCAACTCTGTTAAGGTGGTCAACCTCTCGGAGACCAAAATCCCTAATTTATAAAATGGGACCATCCTCACTTATAGGATGTTCCATGATTTAAATTGCGATTCATATGAGCATTTAGCAATGCTGCTGCTGATAATACTATTATTATTACTATGGCTATTGCTGCTACTACAAATTCACATTTATGCAATGATGCGTACTATACTTGGTATTGTCATATTTCTAATTATCTTCTTATAAATAAGCTTATTTATATATACCTTACATATAAACTTATTTAATCCTCAGAATACCCCTATGACATAGGTAGAATTAATAACTGCACTTTACAAATGTGACAACTGAGCAAAGAGTGGCTAAGTAACTTACCAAAGTGGCACGGCCAAGTGCATTGCTGAAGTAGCGGCTAGATGTTCAGTAAAGTATTAGTTTCTGTCCCCTCTTTAGAGATTTACTCGAATCTTTTCATTTCAGAGATAAGCAATGTTGTGATTTATAAACAAGCAAAATGCTTTCCAAATTTCCTTTACATAGAAAGTTCTTAAACTTTGGCTAAAATTCTTCTTTGTCTACTTATACAATAAAGTTGAATAGAATTTCCTAAAATTTCAAATGGCTACCATGAAAACAATGTAGGTAACACATCTACTATTTCTCAAATAACACTATATGCTAAGTATGATACATATGTAACTTTAATATTCACAAAAATCTCCAAAGATATTATTCCCATTTTAAAATTAAAGAAACTCACAGAGAGATTAAATAATTTGCACAATGATTACATGATTAACTTGAATTTAGGTTTTACAAGCCTTATATTTAATATGCAATGCTATCATTCAGGGAGAGGCTGCTTTGAATAGTAGTTACTTTAAATTATTCCTAAACTTCAACAAAAATCATCTTTCACCTTGGTATGTAGATGACATCAAATGGCCCTCAAATAGTCGCTGCAAGCCCATCTATGAGGTGTATTCTACTCTGCAATTATTAGATAGTCCCTCTAAGGATGTTGCAGAACTGCTATTGTGACTTTTTAGGAATTTAATTTCTAAAAAATAATTGCCAACAAATGGCAATTCCTCCAGTTGAAAGTCATAAGAGAAACAGAAAGGACTCATTTTTTATATTTTGGCTCTAGAAATAAGTCTTGTTAGAAATCCTATCACTTCCATATAATGTATGCATAAGATATACAGGTAATACAAATATAACCATGTGCGCACGCGCGCGCACACACACACACACACACACACACACACAATTTCACCATATCAATAATTTACAGTTGTTTAAATAATTAGGAAAAAATAAGATTATTAATAATAGCCACAATATTAATGCCGATCATGTATTTTGGTAACATCTTCTAAAAGGCAGAATCTGAATGTTAGGAACCATTCTTAGATTCTGGGAAGAACTATCTTGATCAGCACTTGACATGTTGCCCAGCCTCACATGGTCAAATCTGCCCACTATATACAGTTCCAGCAGTTATGACAGAAGGTTTAATTTTGGAATTCACTTAATCTAGCTTACTGCTAGTCAGTGTTTCTTTCAGATCTGCTTCAGACAGCAGCAGTACAAAGAAAACTGGCTTAGGGCACAGATTCTTCCTTCTAGGATTTATCATTAACTGCTTAAAAATAACTCAGGGCTGCTGGCTGCTAATATCTTCAAGACATGCTCCATCTTTATTTAATTGTATATCTAAACTTACTACTTTTCATACATGGTAAGAGAATATAAGATAGTAGACCTTGGTTTAAAAGTTACCTAAGTGAACTCTAATAACGCATTTTTCACCTTTAATAAGTAACTTAATTTATTACGCCCTAATTTCATAATGTTAAAATGAATGGGCTAGACCTGTATTGGAGCCCACACTAGTAACCCTTGAAGTCTCACATGAAAGAGTTCCAAAGTGGCTTTCACATCCTTTTCCTGTTTTACGTGGAATTTATAACCATCTAACAAAAAGACTGAGGTCCCTACAGGAAATGTTTTCTAAAATCGTTTTTTCGGGCCTTAGCTGGTTTGGCTCAGTGGATAGAGCATCTGTCTGTGGACTGAAGGGTCCTGGGTTCGATTTCAGTCAAGGGCACATGCCTGGTTGCAGGTTCGATCCCCAGTAGAGGGCGTGCAGGAGGCAGCTCATCAATGATTCTCTCTCACCATTGATGTTTCTATCTCTCTCTCCCTCTCCATTCCTCTCTGAAATCAAGAAAAATATATTTTAAAAATAAAATAATAGAATTGTTTTTTCTGCCTTTTTATAACAATTCATCATCTACTTAACTAAAAGATAATCTCGTAATATATTATATACATGGCATAATATTCCCTATATTCTTCTTTTCAAAAATATTACTCCTACAAAAAAAAATAACAATTATTGAAGGTGACTGCTTTTTCAACCTCTAAAAATTAAAATTGAATGGAATAAAATGTATGCTCTAAAAACAGCTTTAGAACAATAGAAATGTTCACCAAAAATCAAGTCGTTTTAAGTCCTAAAAGATTATTTAGCACTTTGTGGCTTAAAAATCATTAAAGTAAGATTTTTTCAAAGTATAGGTATGTACAAGTTTATAGTATTCAGTATATAAAGCTTTTAAGGAAATATCTGAAATAGATTAACCAAACTGAGTTACAAATACTTACTTGTAAATGGGTAATAACTCATGTCTTTTGATGGCACTGTCTGATTTTGTGTCACTGCCATACAACCTTTGCACATGTCTTCCAGTTCGAAGTGGAGGGCCTAACTTGTCCATTTTACTATTAAAATATATAAAGGTGTACCCATAAGGAGATTGCTATGTTTGTTTCTTTATATAAATTTTTTTAAAGGCATTATTCTGGTTCATCAGAAATCCAACCCCCAAGCTCTTAGTTATCTGACTGCCAGGTAAGGATTAATGTGACGTCGTCAGATAGACCGCACAATGTCCATTAGTAGATATAAAAATTCTGACCATGCAGGTCAGTCACCTTGCCAGTTTTGATGACTAGACAAAGAAATGCCACATTGGTGCACAGCAGGGCAATGAAATGAATGAAGACGCTTAAGACAACAACTGTTTCAAGTAAAATTTGTGAAGTTAGATGGGAACTGAAAGTTATTACTCTAATAAATAAGACAGATCTGATGCTTATTCTTATGAAGCTCCCAAATAACCTCACTTTTTACCTTCCCTAAATTCATAGAACCTTTCTCTTATTTTCTTCTTTATGATTTTATCATTTCCCCTGCATTTAAAAATTACAAATATAAACTAAGGAATCAAATAAATATGCATATCTTTATCCAATTTGACTTTCTAACAAAGAATGACTATTTTAGAAATTTAGCCAGAGAAAAGTAAAAATGGTCCTATGTGAAAACAGTGAGTAGCAATTGAAAAATCACATGTGAAAACGTGAAGTGGCCTGGGCAACGTGGCTCTGTGATTGAGCGTTGACCTATGACCCGAGAGGTCACAGATCAATCCCCAGTAGGAGGCGGTCAATCAATGACTGTCTCTCATCAATGATGTTTCTATCTCTCTCTTCCTTTCTTAAATAAATATATATATTTTTAAAAGGAAGAAAGTAGCCACGCCAGAAGTGTAAAGGATCCCCATCTAGGGGGCAGTAGAGGAATTGCTGGTTTGTAAATATTTCATTGTTTTACATCAACCAAATAACCAAATCATGTACTATCACCAACCAATATGCATCATCGTAGGGAACAGGGGAAATTAAATTAAATTATGAAATTAGGAGAACTACCTTAAAAGCCCACTGAATAACACCTCACTGCTTATTAACTTTAAAAGTATACTCTTTTTAAGGAATGCTTATTTGCTCATTCATTCTTCCATATATTCACTGACAGTACAAATCCTGAGCACCTATATGTGTCAGGCACTGTGCTACATTCTGGGGATATCATGGTAAGTAAGAGAGATCTGATGCTTGTTCTTATGGAGTTTCATGTCTCAAAAAAAGAATCTCTTCATTTTTCTAGATTATAAGGGTCTCTAAGGAGGGACAGATTTCATCCATTTTTATGTTCTTTTACTATCCTGTACATAGCAGGCATTTTGTTGTAAAGGTTGATATTAATACTCTGCAGGTGGTGATGTTTACATTACTTAAAACATTTTAAAGTCTTTTTTTTAAATGCCTTCATTAAATATATATTAAACAAAATTTCTAAAATATCAGAGATTAATTTTGAAGGTTAATTTTATTTGTGAAAGATAATTGGAAAAGTTACCTATTTGGAATTTAAACTAACAAATCAGAATTTTCTTTGAATTGTTTAGCAATGATCAAAACATTAGTGTTCCAACTGTTATTTTAACAAACTGTATCTGAATTTAGAATAAGGAATGAAAGATTTTATTTTCTTTCTCAGAATAAATTTAATAAAAATTAAAATGTAGAAAAATTTAAATTGCATTTTTAAGTCAGATTCCTTTAATATAAGAACTACTCAGATCTTACATATGATACAACAAGTTCATTTTCAGAAAGGAGATGTATAAAATCTAATACAAATCTAGAGGTAATTAATGGAAATATTCCATATATTCCATATATAAGATGACTGCCAGTATTTTAAGAGCGATCATTTAGATTGAAGTCTTTCAATTCCTTTTGATAATATCACCACTTTTGCACATATAAGATGACTGCCTAATAGAAATGCAGGTTCTGATGATGATTTATCATGCCATATACCTGTTTTAAATTCAAGTCAATTGATTTATTTATCTACCTATACAAATATATATATGTATATGTATGTATATACATAAACACACACAATTAAAATGTTACTTAGGCTAAATGTAAGTAAATATTAGTCTTAAATGAAAAATCATGTAAACTTACATTCTGCTATTATTTGCTACTTTTCACTATGTTCATATCAAGATATAACCAGACAAAAACTAAATTTATAAATTTCAATAATATAATCAAAATATTACCTATATAAAAATGTATACATATAAATATGTTATATGTAATTTACATTTACATATATTATTGTAAATATCTATAATAAAAGCGTAAAATGCTAATTAGACCGGATGTCCTTCCGGACAACCTTTCAGATGAAGCCGGAACTGCGAGGGAAGCCCAGGTCCCAGGTCCCGGGTGCCAGAGGGAAGCTGGTACCAGCAGCCAGGGGAAGGAAGGCCTACTCTTATACAAATTTCATGCATCAGGCCTCTAGTATACATATAAAATCTTATTTATACATATATTTTAAAACACTATGTAATAAAAGTCAATATTGGAGTAATTAATAAATTTTTTAAATATTAGTTTATAAAAGACTTTCAAATACTTAAATCTTTCCCTAAAGTACCCAGACCTAGGATATAACAGACATTTCTCATGTGCCATCTTCATATTTATTTTGGTGTAAACACTTCCGTACTCCTATCCCCTTTTCTATCAAACCTCCTATTTCTGTGCCTCTACCTCCAGTAGCACTGGAGTTTGTCAAAGTAACAACAAGATAAAGGGAATTTGAAAAGAAATAGAAATCTTTGCAAAAGCGATGATATTATCAAAAGGAATTTAAAGACTTCAAACCAACTGATCGCTCTTTGGTGGAAGTTTTCTCTGTCTTTCTTGATCTTGCAAACCATCAGTTAAGGCAGCGAATAACATGAGTATAGAAACCAGGAAGTCTGTATCTAGTACATGTTTTTCCTTGACCTCAAGGGCCTTAGATGTTTCAAGTTATGAAAAAAATACCTTTGCTGATTTTCATATTGAATTTATACATTATCTATTTCTGAGGTTACTTTGAGAATTAATAAATGTTGGGAAAATACAATGACAAATCTACTTTATGGTGTATTTTTTAATTATTTACAAAGTTTGAGGAATATAATTTCAATCATCTGCTAGTACCCCATTATGGAACTAACAATCTAAATGTTTTTAGAGTGCTTCAATGCCATTTTTGTTTAAAGGCTCCAATTCAGTAATGGCAATTATTTTACAGTCAAAGTCCACAAGAAATTAAGGCAGGAATAAACAAATCCATTCTGCAGTAAAAGCAGTCTTGCTGCTGCTAAGGAAAACAAAGGAGGATTTTGAAGCCAACGAAGCACTCCCACATAGCAGGCATTTTGTCAATTTGATCATGAAACTTAACATAATCTCATATGACATGTCCTTAAATTGGCATCTAGATTTAGTCAGAGTCAATATGAAAGTATATTTTCAATCCATCATTGTTCTTCCTATTCAACCATCAAAAAGTGTTGGATTAATAAAAGTTAAAAAACAGTTTGGTGTTTGATATATAGAATCCTAATCTATAGCCAAAGTTCCTGGAGAGCCCAAATGACTTAAAAAAATAACAGTTCCATCTTTGGGTGTAAATGAAGAATACTTAAAAACACCTACCTTCAAATTATAAGTATCTAATGTCTACAATCATTTACTTATTCTAACCTTCAAATTATAAATACCTAATGCTACAATCATTGACTTATTCTAAACAGTGGTCGGCAAACTGTGGCTCACGAGCCACATGCGGCTCTTTGGCCCTTTGAGTGTGGCTCTTCCACAAAATACCGACTTCTGCGCATGGGCCACGAAGTTTCAATCGCACTGTACATGCGCGCCTGCATGTGGTATTTTGTGGAAGAGCCACACTCAAGGGGCCAAAGAGCCGCATGTGGCTCGCGAGCCGCAGTTTGCCGACGACTGTTCTAAGACAAGGAGTGGCTAACTTTCCCTGAAAAGGGTCAGACAGTCAATAGGTTAGGTTTTGCGGGTTAGACTGTCTCTGCCACAAATGCTCCACTGTGCCACCAGAGCAGGAAGGCAGCCACAGGCAATGCAAAAGGTACTTAAAAACTAGACATTTACTTCTTACTATTGTCAATATAAAGTATGAAAATCCAAATTCAATTTTTGTATTAAGAAATGTTCCTTACATGCATTCTTTGTTTCAGGGTAAACTGCTGTTTTTCATAGCAACAGAACAGAAGTAAAGCTTTGAAATTTGATATTTTAGCTACTGAAAATTATCAGATAAACATCTACTTAAGCTGGTAACTAACCATTAAGAAAACACAATTCTCCACGGCAAGACTGTGAACTCTGTGACAGAATTCAAATGTGGCAATATTTATTTAAAAGCTCTGCATTTCATAATACTTCTCAAATTTCTAAAAATTAAAGATAGTCATCTTCTAGATTAGGGAAAAATTTCCTTTGGGTGTATGCTTTGCTTAAAAAAAACTGTTAAAATTGGTTGACTCAAAGGTTGTCGAGAAGTTAATTAGAAAACAAAGAATTTGTCTGTGGTTTGATTCCAATATATGCTAAATATTACAGATCATTGGTATGCATAAAAAGCTGAACAGAACAAACTTTGTGTATATATGTAGGCTTAAAATAATTCCAAGTCACTGAAACTATTTTACTAACCTCAAAAGATGCCCAATTTCTAGACCATTTCAGTTAACCAGGTGTCTTAATTCCTTTAACTCTGTCCTGAATCACCTCTGTAACTGGTAATAATAGTTGCCATACAAACTTCATGTATGTATTTCATCTATACTGGCACCATGATTCTGTGATGTGCCAACAGGTTGACAAATGAGGGATCTAATTTATGAATTCATTACTTTTTTTTATTTACTTGTCAAAACTTTATTGTGTGCCTATATGCCAGGCATTATACAATACTTTGTAGTTATAACTGCAAGCAATGCACACACACAGAGCTTTGTGATCACAGAGGTTATAATCTAGCACAAACAGATCGTTACCTCAGTAATCCTAAAAAAGGAATGAAGCCTGCCACTAAACAGCAGCCATGAATGGTTCTGTGTAATATATGTAATACGGTTATGTTCCAGTTAATATAGTAATATATTAGCCAGAAGCAAACACCACCGCTTTCTTCCCCGTATCTAAAAGCACTCCTGTAATATGTAAGTATCCTATCTATAAAAGAGAAACATGGTAATTGGCATATGACCACTACCCTTCCCATTGGCAAATCAGGGCGATATGCAAATTAACTGCCAGCCAAGATGGCGGCCGGCAGCCAGGCAGCTTGTAACTAACATGAGGCTTGCTTGCTTCAGTGACGGAGGACTCCAACGTTCCCCGCCTACGTTGCTGGCCTCTGAGCTTGCAGTTTAAGAAACATTGTAACAAATATAGAAGCTAAACAAAACCCCAGAAACCTGCTTTCAGCAAGCCCGGGATCTCAGAGCTGGAGTTATACATTGTTTCGATTATAGAACCGAAGCAAACCAGATACCTTCTTTCAGCAGCAGAAGCCTCAGAGCTGGAGCCAGAGCCAATGCTGGCCCAGAATAAAAAGAAAAAAAGGAGCAGTTGGGAGCTTCAGTCGGCCTGAAAACAGCCCTCAGCCCCTCACCCAGACTGGCCAGGCACCCCAGTGGGGACCCCCACTCTGAAGGGTGTGTGACCAGCTGCAAACAGCCATCATCCCCTCACACAGACTGGCCAGGGACCCCAGTGGGGACCCCCACTCTGAAGGGTGTGTGACCAGCTGCAAACAGCCCTCAGCCCCTCACCCAGACTGGCCAGGCACCCCAGTGGGGACCCCCACTCTGAAAGGTGTGTGACCAGCTGCAAACAGCCATCATCCCCTCACCCAGGCTGGCCAGGCACCCCAGTGGGGACCTCGACCCTGAAGGGTGTAAGACCAGCTGCAAACAGCCATCATCCCCTCACCCAGGCTGGCCAGGCACCCCAGTGGGGACCCTCACCCTGATCCAGGACACCCGTCAGGGCAAACCAGCCAGCCCCTACCCGTGCACCAGGCCTCTATCCTACATAGTAAAAGGGTAATATGCCTCCCAGCACCAGGATCAGCGGAGCAGAGAAGGCCTACCGGCACCAGGATCAGCGTGATAGGGGGCAGCGCCCAAACCCTCTGACCGCCCTGCGGCTCTGTGTGTGACAGGGGGCGGGCCACAACCTCCCTATCCACCCTGCTCTGTTACAGTGGAAGGTGCCCCAACCCCCTAATCAGCCCTGCTCTGTGCCTGATAGGGGGGAGCTCCTCAACCCCCTGATCGCCCTACAGTTCTGTGTGTGACAGGGTGCGGCGCCCCAACCCCCTGATCAGCCCTGCTCTGTGTGTGACAGGGTGCAGCTCCCCAACCCCCCCCCCCCCCACGGGCCCTGCTCTGTGTGTGATGGGGTAGAGTCATAACCTGCCCATCAGCCCTGCCCTGAGTGTGACAGTGGCGGCGTCCCAACCCCCTGATCGGCCCTGCTCTGTGGGTGATAGAGGGCAGCACCCCAACCCCCTGATCCGCCCTGCTCTGTGTGTGACAGGGGGTGGTGCCCCAATTCCCCCATCGGCCCTACTCTGTGAGTGACGGGGGGAGCTCCTCAACCCCCTGATTGGCCCTGCTCTGTGCGTGACAGGGGGAGCTCCCCAACCCCCTGATTGGCCCTGCTCTGTGCGTGACAGGGGGTGGCGCCGCAACCTCCCCATCGACCCTGCCTTAAATGTGACAGGGGGCGGTGCCCCAACCCCCCAATCGGCCCTACCCTGAGCGTGACTGAGGGTGGCATCGCAACCTCCCAATCCACCCTGCTCTGTGCATGACAGGGGGCGGTGCCCCAACTCCCCAATCGGCCCTGCTCTGAGCCCGACCAGGGGCTGCACCTAGGGATTGGGCCTGCCCTCTGCCACCCGGGAGCAGGCCTAAGCCAGCAGGTCGTTATCTCCTGAGGGGTCCCAGACTGCGAGAGGGCACAGGCCGGGCTGAGGGACCCCCACTCCCCCCCGAGTGCAAAAATTTTTGTGCACCGGGCCTCTAGTCATATATAAATGGACAAATGGAATTTGAATAGTTATGTTTGACAGTTTTATATGATGTGAGAGAACCAGAATTATTAACTCTTCATCATATTGTAAGCAGTACATAACATAAAATGTGTGCTCACAATCTTTGCTTGTTAGTAAAAATGTTTTCTCCAAGGGATGATGTAAATGTTGATCAGACTTTCTTAGGTCAGTTGTCATGATCTAAGCCGAGCCACAGATGAGGTCCGAGTGAGACAGAAAGGAGAGAGGCACAAAGTCAAAGTCATAAAGCTATTTAGTAGCAAAGTTGGGCCCAGAAGCCTCATTTTCTAATTCAAAGTCAGTGCCCCTTTTGATGATACCAACCAGCTTCACTCGCCCTATTTAAGAATACAGGGTGTCAGTGCAACTACTATTGTCAAATGATTAAATTACCAGAGTGATAGGAGAGGTCCTAAAAATACCAGCTTTTAATTCATAATCACACACAAATGAAACTATAAATAACACTAGAAACAAAAACTATAAACTAAAATGGAAGGTAATTCTTGGTGAGATGGTCAGAAAGGCTTTGTAAATTAAAACACATATGGCTATGTCTTTACTTCAGTTATTAAAATAAAATCAGTAGAGAAGCAAGAAAAAAATCCGTTTTAGCACTGGAAGCTGAGAACCTTTTACTTTTCAACCACTTGTTCTACTGATAACCTCTCTCTTTCTTAAGGATAACCTGTCTCTTCTCTTTGGAAGCCCAACAAAAAGAAAAGAACATTTAACTAATCAGATGTTGTTAGTTGATTGTTCTTCTTTTTCTCCAAAAGAAATTAAATTCCTTTTAGTTCTTGCACTTTCTACATAATCCAAATTAGGACACAAAAGGCAATTATTCTCATTTTATATTTACCCTAATATACTAGTATATTTCTTACATAAAAACTGAAGTGATAACCTATATCTGAAAGTAATATGGGCTATATTTCCTATACCAACCTTATCGGCATTTCTAAAGATGTAGACGTCAACCTGCATTCTAATGACCACATGGTAATCCTTCATTTTCTGACATCAAAATGGAAGAGAAATTGAGTTTAGTGGACTACCAGGCCTTCTATTAAAATCTCTAGTGTTATCAATAATTTCCCCACCGTAACATAATTATTGAAAGCTTACTTATGCTACTTTACTGAAAACCATGTTTATAAAACCGTAGAAAAATAAAAAGTACTTACTATTAAATAAATGGAAAAGAATCACCCATTTTTACTATTTCAGCATATCTGGTCTTTTTTGTCTATATCTATTTTTCTACCTTCTATCATAGCAAATATGGAGTTTGTACCCTACATTTCACTCGTGTTATAGCAGAATCAGCTTATTAAGATTTATATATCTGTTTATGGTTGCATAATATCCCTTTGTAAACTTTCAACATCTGCTCTTCAAACAAAGCTAGACATATTTAGGTGGTTTTATATTTTTTTACATTGTAATAAAAACATGAAAAGACACCAATGTTTAGAGCTAAAGAGACCCTGGTCTGTACCCTGTTTCTAACTTTTAACAGCTATGCAGCTTTGAACAAATTACTTTGCTTCTCGGACCCTCTCATGATACAGTAGTAGGGTGATTTTAATAAAAATGTGTGTAAAATGTCTAGCACAGTGCCTGATACATAATGCTTACTAAATCATGGTTACTACAAAAATCTTCAGTATTTCAAATGATTTCCTTAGCTAGATTCCCCGAGTAAAATTATTCAATCAAAAATAGGAATACTTTAAGCCTCTTAATAAATGTTAGGCAGACTTCCTTCCAAAGTGAGTATACTAATTTAGAGCCTCGCCAGAATTCAGTGTGGTCCTGAGCAGCAATATTAACAGACAAGTGAACTTAGAAGAAAATTAAGGTTAATGAAAAAGCCAATTATCTAAACAAAATAAACCTTAGTGTTATTTATACATCTATATGTCACTAATGAATTAGGTTCAATGTTAACCTACCCTACATGAGGGGCCGCTATCCCTTTATGCGAGGGAGATAAGGTTTGAAGTTTGTTTCCCAACGAGCTGCTAACTGAAGACATTCTACCTGAAGAGACACCTTACAATAAAAAAGTATTAGTTTTAATGAAACTCTGAAAAAGAAATCACATAAATTAGCATCTGACAAGGAAAATAATGAATTACTGGCAATAAATCTAAACTCATTATCAACTAAGAATTATTTTTCTTAAAAAAATAAAATTTCCAGGGAACATCTAGTATCCTTCATTTCTAATTTCCATATTTCTTATAATTTACATACAAATAAAAGTGCACTTCAGTAGTCAATATTGTCTTCTAACCATTAAACATTTGTCTTTTAAGAACAACTATCAAGTTCAGAGCAGTATAGGTTGAAATGAGGGAAAAATAGTCAAAGAATCAAGAAAAGAACTTGGTTGACTATTCTGAACAAATGCTGTATCATTAACAACATCAAGGATAATCACTGAAGCTTAAAAAAGGACTTTAAAACATCTAAAGCAGTGGTTCCCAACCTGTGGGTCACGACCCCTTTGGGGGGTCGAATGACCCTTTCACAGGGGTCGCCTAAGGCCATCGGAAAACACATATATAATTACATATTGGTTTTGTGATTGATCACTATGCTTTAATTATGTTCAATTTGTAACAATGAAATTGGGGGTCACCACAACATGAGGAACTGTATTAAAGGGCCGCGGCATTAGGAAGGTTGAGAACCACTGATATAAAGTAAAAGCTACTGAAAGTAACTTTATTTTTACCCTCCCTATCTCTTAACTAATTATAAATCTATTTTAATGATCTGAATAGAACACTATCTTCATTTTCTTCTCTACCAACACTATAAATAACAACAAAGAATGGAAGCGAATTATTTCATGGCTCTCATTACCTACAACAGTTTTGCTGGTGCCACTTGGCTGTGGTAATCGTGAAGATCCCGATGACAGAGTCCCAGGAGAATTGGACTTTTTAAGAGCAGGCGGCTTATACTAAAATAATGAAAATAAATTATTTCATCATCATCTTTAATATCAATTGTAAACTATTATTTCACAACCATTATTTTATTCCCTTCAATGAGCAATCCTTTTATTCCTTACTGTTGCCCAAAGTAAGAAAGTGTAGATTAGAAAGTGTCCCCTCAGAGAGAGGTTTCCCAAAATGTTCCTTCTCAAAACTGCTGGACTGGAAGTTTGGCTAAGATGTTCCATTTCTAAAATAAACAAAGAGCAACTTTCCCAGTTCACAGGGGAAAGGCTTAGTGGGAAATATTTCCTCAATGTTAGATTCTAAACACCAAGCAAGTATTAACAGAAAAACTTAGACACCCAATGCTTCTCACTGGGTGGAGCGACTTTTAAAGGTCAGGATATAACATGCTCCTGGGTGTGGTTTTATATTTCATATGTATACTCCAGTCACATTTCCCGATCAAAATGCCTAAGATTACATATCAGCCCAGACAGGTTTACAAGAGCCGCCTTCGGGATGCCCCAATGTGAAGAGACAGCCAAGTCTGGCTTCCCGTCCCACCAGACCACATCAGAGGAATGGGGATGTGGGTTAAGAAAGAACAGGGCAGCCCTGACTGGTTTGGCTCAGTGGATAGAGCGTCGGCCTGCTGACTGAAAGGTCCCAGGTTCGATTCCGGTCAAGGGCATGTACCATAGTTGCGGGCACATTCCCAGTAGGGGGTGTGCAGGAGGCAGCTGATCCATGTTTCTCTCTCATGGATGTTTCTAACTCTCTATCCCTCTCCTTTCCCCTCTGTGGAAAATCAATAAAATATATTTAAAAAAAAAAAAAGAAAAGAAAGAACAGGGCACATCCGCTTATGTTATTTTTATTTGTGCTCCACTCTCTCAAGGGATATCACTATTAATTTTATTTCACTGTCTCTTATGATCCAAATTTTGCTCATTTACTAAATACAAAAGTATCTTATCAACCACCTGATCTGATATAAAGAAATGAACTTGCCCAGGTTTACACTCCAACTTAACAACAGAACGGAAATGAAGACTCAGGCCACCTCAGTGCCAGCCAATGCTTCACTATAAGGTGATGACTGCATTGCGTGTATACTTGAGTTAGCCTAATGCAGTAGACTGCTTAGAACATTTTCTGAAAATGGGTTTTAAGCCTGATTTTCAAAAGTCAAATCATATTTTATAATATAGTAGCACTACTAAAATGTTGCTAGCTAAACACAAATTTTAAAGTCAAACATTATAACTCTCTGAAATTCAGTATATGACCTTTAAAAAAAAATCTTGATAAAAGGGTCTCATACACACACACTCAAATACCATGCACATTTGGAACTATTATGCCAGACACTAAAATTTCTTGAGCACTTGGCAAATAGAAAACCTTCAATAACTATCAGATGAACAAATGACTGGAAGACCCTGGAGATAAGCCTTGGACCAGTGGTTCTCAACCTGTGGGTCTTGACCCCTTTGGGGTCGAACGACCCTTTCACAGGGGTCACCTAAGACCATCGGAAAACATATATATAATTACATATTGTTTTTTTGATTAATCACTATGCTTTAATTATGTTCACTTTGTAACAATGAAAATACATCCTGCATATCAGATATTTATTTACGATTCATAACAGTAGCAAAATTACGGTTATGAAGTAGCAACGAAAATAATTTTATGGTTGGGGGTCACCACAACATGAGGAACTGTATTAAAGGGTCGTGACATTAGGAAGGTTGAGAACCACTGCCTTAGACAGTTTCTTTAAAAACCTGAGAAGTCTTTCTGGTTTGTTTGGGTTTTTTTGTTTTTGTTTTTGTTTTTTATATATTTTATTGACTTTTTACAGAGAGGAAGGGAGAGGGATAGAGAGTTAGAAAAATCAATGAGAGAGAAACATCAATCAGCTGCCTCCTGCACACTCCCCACCGGGATGTGCCCGCAACCAAGGTACATGCCCTTGACCAGAATCGAACCTGAGACCCTTGAGTCCTCAGGGTGACGCTCTATCCACTGAACCAAACCGGTTAGGGCTTGTTTGGGTTTTTTTAACTGATTTTTAGAGAGAGAAAGGAAGCAGTGAGAAACATCAATTTGTTGTTCCACTTACTTATGCATTCACTGGTTGATTCATGGATATGCCCCGACTGGAGATCGAACCTGCAACCTTGGCATTTCGGGACAACACTCTGACCAACTGAGCAACCTGCCAGGGCTGAGGTGTTTCTGGTTTAAAAGGGCATCTGTGTGGCTCAGCTGGTTGGGCGTTGTCCCATGCACCCTGAGGTTGCCGGTTGGATTCCAAGTCAGTGCACATGCCTGGGCTACTGCCTCACTCCCCCAGTAAGGGGCGTGCAGGAGGCAGCCAATCGATGTTTCCCTCTCACAGATGTTTCTTTCTCTTCCTCTCCCTTCTTCTCTCTAAAAAATCAATAAAAATATTTTTAAAATAAAATAAAAAAATAAAAGGGCATCTGTTCGAATGTCTCCCACTAAAATACCAATGAAGATATTAGAAAAGATTTTAAAATAAATATGAAAACAACACGTAAAAAAATTTGTCAAAATACCAGAGACATGTCTACTAAAAACAGGGCCCATAAAACTGAATTAAGAAACAGAATTGGTGATCCCCTCATGAGCTGCATACACGAAGGGGGGCACATTGCATAGTGAGAGGTCAAGCCTTCAGGTTGAGTACAGGCAGGAAGGGCCTGGTAAAACTATATATTGAGCACTACAGATTTTTACGCCACTTCAGAATTTATTAAACTTAATGGATTAGAAATTGAAAAAAGGCAGAATATGCCTTTCAAACGGTGCTTTGCTTTTCTGCTCTCTAGATTGGGCCTTCTATGGTTTTACTCAATTTTATTGCTTCCTGAGGTCCCTAGGAACCAACCTAAGGCCCAACCTTATCTATCTCCTCTAATAGCTCCTGTTACTTTCAACAAGAGTCAGGTTAGTTTCCTTTGTGAATCCTCCTACTACTCTGAGTGCCTTTTGTTTAAAGCATATTCATCTGCCTCTCAGTAGGTTGCTGTTCCCCTGCCCTAGATAATGGGACTCTTTCCGCACTGAGCTGCATTTTATCTATCCCACAACATCTAGCCGGATTCTACCAGTGTCAGAAAGGCTTTCAGGATGACTAGCTATCAACAATTTTGTGTAAGTTCATTCAAAAGGACAAAATAATTGTCTTTTAATACAAGTATAGTCAATATATTATTTCTTTCATTCATTAAGTATTTGGTAGGTGCTGATTATTTCATGTTTTTTTATGCTGATCACAACTCAAGTAAATTTCCTTAGCAAAATATTTATACTTACGAAGACTTTTTTGAATGGAAAAGCTTAAAGAACATGGAAGACATTAATCCTATATAATAAAAGGCTAATATGCAAATAGACCAAACGATGGAACAATCGGTCACTATAGGATGGTGGAGCAGGTGAGCGGGGATGCCAGACCAAGGCGGGCGCCAGTCGCTGCCAGCGCCAGAGCCGCCGCTCACACCCACTGCCAGTGCCTGGTTCCAGTTCCAATCACTTAGCACCATCAGCAGGTGCAAGTGGCGGCTGATGGCCCTGATGACCCCTGAGGGCTTCTCCACCTCCCCCTGCTCCTGAGGGGTGATCAGGGCAGCAGCCACCACTTGCACCCGCTGCTGGCGCCGGCCCCAATTGCTCCACGCCATAAGCGGGTTCGAACGGGGCCGGCGCCGTCAGCATGTGGGAGCGGCGGCAGCAGGAGCAGGGCTGCAGGCAGACAAGGGACCGGAGGCTGCGGCAAAAGGGGCCAGGCAGGGGCCCAGAGGATGGGCTGAGACCAGCCCCTGTGCCTACCACAGCCTCATGGCCCACAGTTCCTTTCAAGGTGCATGAATTCATGCACTGGGCCGCTAGTTTCTTATAAATTGGCAGAAGGTACTATTTGGAATGATTTTTCAAGTAAGCACTAAAAATGCTCAGGACTGATAATACTGCATGCTGATGAAAATACAGCTGCTAAATATGACAAGGATGCATCTAAACCTCTTTAGAAAAAGTATTGTATTTAGTCTACTAATATACACTCAGTACTTGCTACAGTGTCTGACTCGAACAGGGTATTCAATAAAAACTTGTTGAATGAATAGAAACAAAAAAATATGGCCCCGCCGGCATGGTTCAGTGGTTGAACGTCAACCTATGAACAAGGAGGTCATGGTTCGATTCCTATCAGGGCACATGCCCGGATTTCGGGCTTGATCCCCACTGGGGGGCGTGCAGGAGTAAGCCGATCCATGATTCTCTCTTACCATTGATGTTTCTCTCTCTCCCTCTCCCTTCCTCTCTGAAATCAATAAAAATATATATTTTTAAAAAGAAAGAAAATATGGGGTTAAACTAAAATGAACATACACAACTGGGCATGGAATTAACACTGATTTAAGGTGAGAAAATCAACTACTTGGATTTCACATTTATCAATCATTTGGAACAAAGTTGTTGCATATACATGTTCTATTGTATTTCCTTTGCTCTGCTGATTATTTTATTCTTGAAACAAAAAATCGTATTACGGTCTTAACTGTTTATATGTAAGATATGCGTTTGACATCTGTTTGGGAAATCATTCAAAATGAGTCACTGTTCTTTCCCCACGGTGACGGTAATAATGATGTGCTCTACTTCCAATATTAACAAAAATTCAATGAAAAAATTCTCTCAAGACGACCCCAATTGTAATGGAGTCTTTTAATTCAATATTTTATTTGTAAGTAACAAGAGAAATGGATTTATTACCTGCTAGATTTATAGTACTGAAAAAATTATTTACAAATGAAAGCTTTATAAAAAAAAATGAAATTTGCTTGGAAGTATGACATTTTCATACTTCCAATATGCTTAAAGAAAACCAATAGTACTGTAAAAATCAATTTCAAAAACGAAATTGTTCTATGGTTAATAGTTTGTAATGCTTTCACATAAGTTATTCCATCTGCTTCTCACAATACTCATGGAAATCACCACTGCACAAATGAAGAAATAAAGGCTAAAATTAGTAATTTGGATTTGACCCTACATTCACTCCCTCATGAGCATTACTCATACATAACATGGAAACATTACTCATATGTAACATGGAAACATTCAGTTCTTACATGATTTTTTTTAAATAATTGATTTTAGAGAAGGAGAGAGGGAGGTGAAGGGGAGAGGGAAGGGGCTGGAGAGGGAGAGAGAGAGAAACATTGATTCGTTGCCTCCTGTACATGCCCTGACTGGAGACTGAACCCACAACCTAGGCTTGTGCCCTGACCAGGACTCTAACAAGCCACCTTCCAGTACACACACCTTCCAGTACACAGGATGACGCTCCAACAAACTGACCCACACCAGCCAGAGCAACACTTACATGATTTTCAATGAGGAATTGACTGGCATTTTCTTACTCCTCTATCACCTCTGGTTTCCTCTGCATCTGCTTCACCAATTTTTAACTTATTTTCTTACATATTTCCTAATACTACTTCAAAATCTATATACTTACAAGTCTCTACTAACTCAAGTCCATTTCAAATTGATTAATTGTAATTATTTGTTTTCAATTAGCCATTCAAATTTATTACTAAATCCCTGAACAGTAATACATAAATTTTAGCAGGTCAGAAAATGATACTTACATGTTCTATAAAGCATAAACATAAAACAGTTAACTTGAAAAAGTCATTTTCTCATTTTGTAGAAATGATTAAGTAGCGCATTTCACCTGTGTCCGAGAAGTCGCTTTGCCTTTGGCATCAGTAGAAAATTTGCTTTTATTACTAATACGTGCTGCCTGTTCTTTACAGAAATTTATATGTCTATCAGCTGCATTTTCATTAAATCTCCTCTGGCAATATGGACATTGAATATAATCTAAAGCAAAAAAAAAAAGAAGCAATTAATAACACAATACTTTAAATAAGACATATGAATTATAAGTTTATATGAAGACATAAGCATAAATAACATTTAATAAACAAAATCTCTCATTTCCTTATAACCACTCAACCTGACTTATCCAAACTTAGTATAAAGATGTTTAAGCAAAAAGTGTGCTAGTCTATAATAATAAAAGCATATTATGCTAATTAGACCAGACATCCTTTCGGATGTCCTTCCTTCCGGACAAAGCCTCGGCAGGCAGGCGCCGAGGCAGAGGTGGCCGCCACGGCAGTGGGGGCGAAGGCCCTTGCATGAATTTCGTGCATCGGGCCTCTGGTATATGATAAAGTCCAATGTTCTCCCAGCTTAGAATCAAATTTGAAGGGGAAAAAAAGATAAATCCTCGATACAAATATGAAGTGGAGGAAAAATGTTATTTCTTTTTACCTCTATAATGCCATGTTTTTATCATATATACATATTTTTAAGTTAGACTAATTTAGCAGTAATAGCACATTACATTCAAAATATATTTTAAAATTTAGGATCATCTATTAAAATACTGTATTTCAATTAGAGGAAAACTGTCATAAAACAGTTTATCAACTCTGTATTTATTTTCTTTTAGAGGTCCCAACAGATGAAAGAAGTAAAGCAAGATATCTCAACATAATTAATTCAGCCCAATGGCATGATTCCATGGTGGAACATCCATTCAAATTTAAGAGCAAATGCTTCCATGATAAAATATTCTAAAATGCAATGTATACTATAAATAAAATTTATTTTAAAATTAAATCTTCAAATTATCCCATGCTGAACTAAATTTTGTAGTACTATAAAAGATCTCAACTGAGACACTGAAAAGACATGAATGTAAAAATTTAGCAGTGTCAAAAAAAAAATCTCAACTTATTTCAAGTTTACTTTTCTATAGGAGTTTACCTTTAAATTTATACTCATTTGAAGCTCAGAAATTTGTCCTGCTAATTAGTGAGTAGGTCTAAAATTTCTAATAACAAAGAAGTTGTTTTGTCAAAACTAAGAGATTTTAAAATTTCTATAGCCCAAATCATGCTCAACTACTGGAAGTCTTGCTCTCTTACTTATGTAAACATGAGAAATATAGCTATGTTGAAAAAGACGTGATATACAAATTCCTCCAAAACAGAAAATTCAACTACATGGGGAAAATTTAGGGAGAATTAAGAGACCCAAACCTAGTTGGGTCATCCCAGAAACAAACCTAACATTAAAGTTAATTACTCTACAACAGAGGCTGGCAAACTAGGGCCCCTAGGCCAAATCCATTCTGCCAGTTGCCTGTTTTGATAAATAAAGTTTTATTAGAAGACAGCTATACCCATTTAGTTACATATTGTCTGTGGTTGATTTCTTGTAGTAGGGGCAACAGAGCTGAGTGTTGCCTGCAAAGCCTAAGATATTTACTATCTGGCCCTTATAGAAATAGTTTGCCAACTTCTTTTCTATAATAAAACATTAAAAATGATCATATCTATATTTTCTAAAGAAATTTCTCTTTACAAAGAAATAAATCCAAATCTAGAATACTAACACAATTTTCATGCAGTTAACTTATTACATTAAAATAACTACCTCTTCAGGCTACTGTAATCATCAATATCAAAATGTCAGCTGTGCTGTTTTAAACCTTTTAGTATCGTAACAACTCAAATGGGGTGGCCAGCATCCTGCCTTGTTTTTGTTTTTGTTTTTTATAACAATAACAAGCAACTTTTACCCACTCACTGAAAAAAATGTAATGCATGAGTTTAGGGCATATTTAGGTATATCGGTTTATATGGTAATTTCCTCACACGAACTGTATATTTTTGAAGCAATATTATGGTTTTCTTCCTTCCCAGATGAGAAGATTCCAAAGAACTAAGCAACATCACTGTGTGAATTTTACTGAATGACTACATTTCAATTCACAGTGAGCATGATTAAAATATTTCCTAGAATGTTAAAATTTAATAGTTACTACAATAGTTTTTAAAATGATATTATAATGTTTAAATAGAAGTACTGAGATGAAAAGATAATGCATTTCTATGTTCAACACTGATGTATATTAATAAGCCTAAATGCTTGTTATCAACATTACTTTGAGGCAAAACTTTTAAAGATTATGCTTCATCACGTTCCATTATTACGGGTTCAGTTTAATAACAACTTAAAATTTATAAAAATTCTACCAATATGTTATCCCCACATGAGCAGAACTGTCAACAACAGGCATATACCAGGATCGTACGAAGGTGGAGGAGGAGGAGGAAGCTTGCCCCCCTCTTTAAGGGCCTGGTCCAGGCCTTTAGCTGCTCTTATGGTGGCAATGAATTCCTCATGTTTTCTTCTCCAATTAGATGGTTTCTTTGGCGGTTCAGGCTATAAAAAAATACACAATCAATTTTAGAACATTTTTTTACACTAAACTGAGATAAAACTTGAGGAAATGCCATATTACTTTAAATATTCTCTTACCAGGAATTCTTAAATGATTTCCTTCCCAAATTTACAATTACAAAAAGAGAACTTAATGCAACTATGTTATATGTAATTTTTGAAATGCAATTTTAATTGTAATAGACACTAAATTGACTTCTCTAGGTATCACATTGCACTTAAGTTCCCTCTAAGATATTTTCCTGTTTTCCCATAGTTCCTCCAATTGAGTATGTTATCTCACTTTTTGGTTTTTAATTGGTTAGGGGTGAAAGATAATCCCCTCTGTGGTTCTCACTGGCTTTTCTCTTATAATGAGTAAGAGTGAGCATCTTTTCATATAACTAAGAATCATTAGCACTGCCTTTTTGTGAACTGTTTATATGCCTGGTCAACTTATCTACTAGATCAGTGGTCGGCAAACTGCGGCTCGCGAGCCACATGCGGCTCTTTGGCCCCTTGATGTGGCTCTTCCACAAAATACCACGTGTGGGCGCGCACGTACAGTGCGATTGAAACTTCGTGGCCCATGCGCAGAAGTCGGTAAGATGATTGGTCTTTTTCTTTTCTTAAACAATTTCCAGTAACTCTCTAAAGGAGACTAGCCCCAACCCTCCCTAATAATCATGTCCGTCTTTTTATCCTTTCAAAGAGTCTTCTGATGTGAAGAATTATTTTGTAAATGTAGTTTAATTTACAAATCTTTTCTTTATGATCTCTAGATTTGTAGTCACAGTTAACAAGGCCCAATCTCACCCCAAAGTAAAATGGGAATTTTCCATGTTTCCACCAGAGCTTTTGTGGTTTCATTTAAAATTTTAAATCTCTTACTTGTTTGGAATTTATCCTGATGAGTGGTGTGACATATGGATTTCACTTTATTTTTTGTTTGTTAACATAGCTATGTAGCTGTCTCACCATCCTTTACTGACTTTTCTTCCCACTGAACTGGGACAATACTTTTACCATATTCTCTTTTGTATTTGAGCTTATTCTGAACTTTCCCTTTTGTTCCATTATTATGACTATCCTTGTGTCAATACCTGTTTTAAATATTGAGATTTTATGATATTTTAATATCTAGTAGGGTAGCTTACTTCATTCTGCTTCTTTTACTATCTTTTCTGGTTATCCCTGTGTGATATTTTTTCATATGAACTTTAAAATTAGCTTGTCTGATTTTTTAAAAAGACTATTATAATTGTAAAAATGAAACATTATATTCGTAATTAACTTAAGGAACTTAAAACCTTAATATGCTAAGTCTAACTATCCAAGAATATGAGATATATTTCCATTTGAAGAAGTGTTCATTTGTCTTTTAGTAGTATTTTAAATTATTCTTTGTGGAACTCATACTTCTATTATCTTAAGGTTTATTGCTAAATATTTTATATTTGGTGTTTCTCTTTTATAAAGGGTATTTTCTTCATTTTTATGTTGAAATATAAAACCTAGTAGTTTCTGTATACTAATATTATATCTCATTACTTCACTGACTTCTCTTATTATTGGTAGTAATTTATCAGTTGATTCTTTTGGGTTTTCATCTCTTAATAATGGCAGTTTTCCAGTCCCTACACATCTAATTTCTTGTTATTTTCTATCGGCTAGTACCATACTGGTTAGAGATTAATCTTGTTCCTGACATTAATGGAACTACTTCTAAGTATCTTTCCATTAAACATGATGCTTGCTCTTGTGCTACCAGAGATTTATTTTGTCATATTATTGAAATATTCAACTATTCCTATTGTGTCTTTATTTTTTAAATCAAGAATATAAGTTGAATCAACAAAGTCAAAACATGGTTCTTTAAAAACACTAATAAGGCAAAACTAATCAAAGAGAGAGAAACAGAAAACGAAAATCAAATTATCAAGAATGGAAAATAGTATATGATCCAGTTCTTACAAACAAGAGAACGAAAACATTATTAAAAAAAAAAAAAAACTTTGTGTTAAAAAATTTGATAATTAAGATGAATTGAACAATATTCTCAGCAAATACTACAAAACAGATACCAGAAGAAACAGAAAATCACAACAGTTTTAAATATTTTTTAAATGAATCTATTATTTTAAAAAACCCACAAAGAAAACTCCTGGCCCAGATGTCTTCCCTATTGAATTCTTGCAGATATTTAAGAAAAAAATAGCATCCAATCCTTTAAAAATTCTTTAAAAATATAGAAAACAAAAGAACAACTTTCTTACTAGTCTTACAAGAGCAAAACTCTGATAAAAAGAATAATTATAGTTCCACTTCTCTCATGAATATATATGCAAAAATCTTAACTAAAGATACAAACATTTCCACGTTTGAGATGAGCGACTCTGACATTTCGTACTTGATCCTGAAATGCCTGATCACAACTCCAACGGGCTCCGCAGCGAGCATCGCTCACCTACTGGTCAGTCTTGCAGCCCTCTTCTCCCTTTTCACACAGTGTCTGTATCCGTGCTGAGCTAGTAGTTTATTGCTCGACATGAGTTAGGGTTTCTTCTGTTCAGCTGTTTTTAAGAGGTTTTAGGGAGGAGAGGCCCAGGGTAGCCTTCCAGGCTACACATACCAATAGCTCCCTTCTCTGTTGGCATCAGATACAGATGCAAATAAGGCCTCAAAGTGTGATTAGACATCCCCCTTCTGCTTCTCTAAAACAATGTGGGTCAAGAGGGTTCCTGCTGCCAGCCACACTCCCTCATACAGGACACAGCCCTGAGTGGGCGCCACGCCCTCAGAAAGGGTATTTTCCTTTTCTAGTGTTTTCTCAGAGTCTCTGCACTAGTGGGGCCTCTTAACACTCTGCTTCTTCTCCCCACCTCCTCCCTCCTGGCTTTTGTCCATTTCAGCCAGACTCATTCCAGTCCCTGGCTATCCAATCCTCTGTAGCTCAGCCCAGTTCCTGCTGGCTGTAGTAAACAGGGATATAAACTTCCTGATACGCCCCTTAGCATCAAGGAGTCACCTGTAAGATGCCAGGTTGCCAGGTTCTGGTTCTGGGCCTTCGGTCCCCAGCACTTCCTGCACTTCCTTTCTGGGTAGCTTCTCCTGGACCTCAGGTGCTTTGGGCAGCCCTTGCATTTGGTGGTCTATGGATTATAACTGCCTTTACTTTCCCCAAAAATGGATTTTGTATATGCTTTGCTCCACTCTGCTTGTGATTTTGTAGGATTTCCTTAATACAGATAAAGATACTGAGAATTAAGCTACAATTTTCAAAATCTTCTAACATACTACTTCTCAAACTTTAATATGTGTATGACTCAAACACGGATTGGATTAAAATGCAGGTGCTGAATGAGTATACATGAGTGGGACCTGAAACTCTGCATTTCTAACAAGTTCTAAAATGGTGCTGATATTATTGCTCTATGGACCACCATTTAAGTAGCAAGAATGTAAACTACTTAATGTAAATCAATGCTTTTTTCTGAAGATTAAATTTTTAAGTATATAGAACCATATGAAAGACATAGGCTAAAGATAACACTAATTAAGAGACTAGAGGCCCAATGTACAAAGATTCGTGCAAGAATGGGCCTTCTTCCCCTGGCTGCCAGCACCGCCTTCTCTCCAGCCCGGAGCCCTCCGGCCCAGAGCCGCCTTTCTGCCTTGGCGACGATACAAGCATTCCGCCTCACCCCAGCCGCTCAGCGCCTGCATATGCAAATTAACCCACCATCTTTGTTGGTTCATTTGCATACTCACTCCTGATTGGCTAGTGAACATCATGAAGGTATGGTCAATTTGCATCTTTCTCTTTTATTAGTGTAGAGTGCCATGGATAAATTTATGTAATCCCTATAATAATCCCATGAGATGGATGCTACAACTCCTATTACCATTTTACAGGTAAATAGAAGTATGGATTAAGTAACTCACTCAACACAACATGCTAAATAACAGAACAAGGTTAAAATCAGGCAGTCTAACTCTTGGACCCTTTTTTACACCCACTGTGTTATACTGCTCCCAGAGATTTCAGTAGTTTATCTTCAAAGCTAATTAAAGCGAATACAATCATATATCTGGAAGGTGACTATGAAAAACTTCAAATAATGGTTTACCTTATTCAAAATTCACCAATATCCCCTTGGATAAATAGACAAAAATACAAAAATGAACATTCCATTTTTTCTATTACCCAAATGATTTCATCAGTAAGATTAATTGGCCCACAGGGAAATGTTTTGTTTCATTTTAAATCTTTATTGTTGAAAGTGTTACATAAGTTCCCTTCCCGCCCCCCACCCCCCCATTGATCCCCTCCAACCTGCTCCCAATCCCCACCCCAGACCTTCACCATCCTATTGTCTGTGTCCATGGTTTATGCATATATGCATACAAAGTATTTGGTTGATTATCTCCCACCCACCCATCCTCTCCCACCTTCCCTCCCTCTGAGATTCCAAAATGTTTTTTGTACCACTGGGAGAAGTTATTACCACTGAAAGCAAGGTTGTTTCAAAAACCTATTTGATGAGGTATTCAAATTTTGACTATTTCACTGAAATAACGCTTTAAAACTTTGTCAGACAAAGTATTTATGTGACTTATTCTTAGCAATATAAACTATCACAGTGACATTAAAGAAACATTATCATAGGAGATTCATTGCTTTGATAACAAGAAAGAAAAGAAGCTGTCAATGGCTATGTGAGGACAGTTAGCAACTGATAAAAGTTTTTCCCAAAAGCATAATTAGATCACAAATACTGACAATCTATCAATCAAGATAATCAATCTCTATTATGCTAAGATGTCTATAAATTATACCTTTACCTTTGTATACAGGGATTGCTCTACTGGTAAGAGAGACTTTAACACATTAAAGCATAGCCGAGGTAATTAACAATGACTTAAAAGGAACATGTGAGGTGGGCTTTTAATTATTTCCAGCCTACAGCTAAGCAAGTGATCCTCCAATGTTGAATAACCTCATTGTAACAGTTGGAGTTGAGAGAGTAGTTCGGCCTCCCTCTTTCCAAAGTCTAAAATAAATGAGTTTGTGATCATTTCTAAACTGAGAACAGTACACAAAATTTTGGTTATTATTCAATACTAGAGGCCCGATGCACGAAATTCATGCATTGGGGGAGGGGAGGGGGTGTCCCTCAGCCTGGCCTGCATCATCTCACAATCCAGGACCCCTCGGAGAATGTCCAACTGCCAGTTTAGGCATGATGCCAGGGATCAGGCCTAAACCAGCAGTTGGACTTCCCTCTTGTAATCCGGGACTGCTGGCTCCTAACCACTCACCTGCCTGCCTGTCTGATCGCCCCTAACCACCCTGCCTGCCTGATCACCCCTAACCATCCTGCCTGTCTGCCTGATCGCCCCTGCTTGCGTGCCTGCCTGATCGCCCCTAACCGCTCGCCTGCTTGCCTGCCTGATCGCCCCTAACCGCTCGCCTGCCTGCCTGCCTGCCTGATCGCCCCTAACAGCTCACCTGCCTGCCTGATCGCCCCTAACTGCTCGCCTGCCTACCTGATTGCCCCTGACCACCTCTGCTTTGGCCCCCGCCATAGTGGCTTCGTCCAGAAGGTCATTCAGCTGTCCAGTCTAATTAGCATATTACGTTTTTATTATTATAGATTAGTATAACACATAACGATAATTTTTTCAATACATATACATAGCAGTAAGGCTCATACTGTTCAAAGGTTATACAATTACCCTAGGTTTAAGAGGTTTTACTGTTGGAATATCAGTTCCTTCAGCTCTCTGTCTGCTTGAATCAAAAGTCTTCCGTTTTTTAGTGGCAGTTTTCTGGCAAATGGGTCCATGTTTTTTCTGTTAAGGTAAAGAAACACAATATATCATTTTCATTTCTATAGAAGGGAAGACTTTAAATTGACAGTTTAAAAACCTAAGATGAAATAAGCAATAAATAATACATAAATAAATAAGACATACCTTGCTTTGACTAAAATTGTTATAAAGCATATAGAATGCATGCTGTTAGTTATCTTTCTTACCATAAACGGTATAGATAAAAACCCTTTCAAAATTTTGAGTTATTTAACATTCTCCCAGGTTCACATTGCTAAGAATAAGGGTAATAATGTCAGTAAGTCAAAGCTATTTGAGTGGGGGAAAAGTTATTTTCATCATTAAATACCTAAAAATAAATACTTAAAAAAAGTGTGTGTGGAGAATGCGTTTGTATTAGGGTTACAAAATTGCTATAATAGAGGTAATTAGGATTACTAAAGCTAGCATGAAATAACAGGACAAAGTGGTCAGATTTGTGTCCCTGTGTCCTACCTCCACAATTATCCCTTTTTTCCCTCTGGAACTCACATTTTCTGCCATTCCTTATCCATGATTTTTCTTGAGCCTTCTAGTGCTCCACTCCTACCGATATTTTTCTTACCATGATTGCCAACTCATTCATTCAATTATTCACATATTTATTCATTTTAAGAGCATTACAATAGAAGCTCTGTTAACTGACCTCCAATTAATCTACTGGATAAATAATCCCTCCGCAAAATAAAACATGTGGACTGATGACATCAGTGCATTAAATGCACTTTTTTCCTATTTGTATTTCGATAAACACTAACTGAACGGCTTAAACTATTCAATAAGAGGAAACCTCCAAACTGGTTGGCTCGGTGTCCTGGAGCCTCTCATATTTTTCAATACACAATTAGTAATCTATTGTTGTACATATTTCTTTTCATTTGACAAACAAGCACTGTAATTATAGCTATTAGAATAAAATCTTTTAAGTATTAAGAAGTATGGCTAGCAGGCAACTTAAACGTCTTTCACATGCTGATTTGTCTCTGTCAAAAGTATGTAATGGTTGTCCCCAAAACTGAGGTATATGCCAGTTGTAGCTGTTACAGTGATCACATAATCTAATTAAATCTAATACATAAATAAATGATGGCAAATAAAGAACTTTTTCCTATGGAAACTCAGGTGAATGCATTGAAAATGATATGAAAAAATAGTGAATTGATTTTTAAAAATCACTGAATTAAGTGTGGGAAAGCCAATTTTATATATATACACACACACACACACATACACACACACACACACACAGACTAGAGGCCCGGTGCACTAAAATTTGTGCACTCAGGGGGAAGAGGGGGTCCCTCAGCCCGGCCTGTGCCCTCTTGCAGTCTGGGACCCCTCGGGAGATAACAACCTGCTGGCTTAGGCCTGCTCCCGGGTAGCAGAGGGCAGGCCCAGTCCCTAGGTGCAGCCCCTGGTCAGGCTCAGAGCAGGGCTGATTGGGGAGTTGGGGCACCGCCCCCTGTCATGCACAGAGCAGGGCGGATCGAGAGGTTGCAATGCCACCCTCAGTCACGCTCAGGTTAGGGCTGCTTGGGGGGTTGGGGCACCGCCCCGTCACACTCAAGGCAGGGTCGATGGGGAGGATGCAGCGCCACCCCCTGTCACGCACAGAGCAGGGCCAATCAGGGAGTGGGGCGCTGCCCCCTGTCACTCACAGAGCATGGCCCATCAGGGGGGTTGGGGCCCATACCCTGTCACGCACAGAGCAGGGTCAATCAGGGGGTTAGGGAGCTCTCCCCCGTCATGCACATAGGAGGGCCGATCAGGGGGTTGAGGAGCTCCCCCCTGTCACTCACAGAGTAGGGCCGATAGGGGAGTTGGGGCACCTCCCCCTGTCACACACAGAGCAGGGCGGATCAGGGGGTTGGGGCGCTGCACCCTGTCACACTTCAGGGCAGGGCTGATGGGGAGGTTATGGCTCTACCCTGTCACACAGAGAGGAGGGCCCGTGGGAGGGTGGGGGGGAGGTTTGGGCACCGCACCCTGTCACACACAGAGCAGGGCCGATCAGGGGGTTGTGGCTCGCCCCCTGTCACACACAGAGCCGCAGGGCGATCAGGGGGTTTGGGCGCTGCCCCCTGTCACACTGATCCCGGTGCTGGGAGGCATATTACCCTTTTACTATATAGGTTAGAGGCCTGGTGCACAGGTGGGGGCCAGCTGGTTTGCCCTGAAAGGTGTACTGGATCAGGGTGGGGGTCCCCACTGGGGTGCCTGGCCAGCCTGGGTGAGGGGATGATGGCTGTTTGCAGCTGGTCACACACACTTCAGGGTGGGGGTCCCCACTGGGGTGCCTGGCCAGTCTGGGCGAGGGCTGAGGGCTGTTTTCAGGCTGGTGGGTGACTGAAGCTCCCAACCGCTCCTTTTTTTCTTTTTTTTTTATTCTGGGCCAGCTTTAGCTCTGAGGCTTGGCTCCAGCTCTTAGGCCTCCAATGCTGAAAGCAGGTATCTGGTTTGTTTGGGTTCTATAATCGAAACACTGTTTCAACTCCAGCTCTAAGATCCCGGCTGGCTGAAAGCAGGTTTCTGGGGTTTTGTTTAGCTTCTATATTTGTAAGAATGTTTCAAACTGCAAGCTCAGAGGCCGGCAGCGGCAGGCGGGGAACGTTGGAGTCCTCCGTCACTGAAGCAAGCCAGCCTCATGTTAGCTTCAAGCTGCCTGACTGGCGGCCGCCATCTTGAATTTGCATATCGCCCTGATTAGCCAATGGGAAGGGTAGCGGAGGTACGGCTAATTACCATGTTTCTCTTTTATTAGATAGGATACACACACACACACACACTTTTTTTTTATTGATTTCAGAGAGGGAGGGGGAGAGAGAGAAACATCAAATGATGAGAGGGAATCACTGATCGGCTGCTTCCTACATGCCCCCCACTGGGGATCAAGCCTGCAACTCAGGCATGTGCCCTTGACGGGAATTGAACCTGGGACCCTTCAGTCCGCAGGCCGAAGCTCTATCCACTGAACCAAAACAGCTAGGGCAGGAAAACCAATTTTAAAGAATTAAGAAGAGTTGTCATGTAAGAGGAGTCTGTAGTCAGACTGACATTTATGAATCATTAATTCCTCACTTTGCTTAAAAGAAACAAATTAAAAATATTAAGAGGATGAAAAATACTATATGGTAGAATTCTAATCAGACCCATTTTCAAAGAAAAGTCTTTACATCAAAATATTAATAGATGTATATTTATATTTGAAAGTACAATAAAATATGTAAGGTACATAGGCATTTTTTCTTATTCTCTATTTAGATGGCTATTTTATAGTAAAATCAGTTAAAATTGCTTTTATTTGTATGTACTAAGTATCTAAAGAATGTGTAATATATTTTAGGTATACTTTTAATTGAAAACAATGTTTCTTTGGAGTATTTCAAACGTCCATAACCACTGAGAAAATAGTGGTTTTCCCTTTTACTCATCACCCTGCTTCAACAATTACAAACCCTTTAGCTATCTTGTTCCATATATCCCAGCTTTTTTCTGAAAGCAGACACTGTATCATTCTATACCTTTAAATATATTATTATGCATTTTTAAGAGTTTTCTGTTTTGTTTTTGTTAATATCCCCACAATGAGAGGTACACTTCAACACTTTAACAGAGAAGTTCTGAAGACCAATCAAACTCTAAAGGGATGAGAAGACATGGAAAGGAGACATGGATGGAACTTCTACTCTTGAACAAAGAATCTCCAGCCAGTATCTCTTCCAATCATTCCGCAGAGGTTGTTTCTAGGAGAGTTGTCCAAAAGTATTGAACAACTACTGATCTATCACATCCCGAAGGAAGAAGGTACTCACTAATGCCACTGGAAAAAATGTTCTTCCACAAATCTTGCAAGGTAATAATTCTCCAACTTGAACACTTCCATTTTCTAAAACAGAAAAGAATTTACTCAATAATATTGTATGTTCAAATTGTGAAGTTCCAAGTTTTAATGTCTTCTCTTAGCTTCTTATGTGTTATCAGTTCTTGTGAAAAAATGTTGTTTCCTTTTAAATAAGCAACATCATCAATTAAAATGAATACCAGACTTAAGAGTTTATCAGTGGTCAAAATGATACCAAACTGATATGTTGGAAGTATCTGGTTTACTTTTAACCAAATCAATTTATCATATTCTCTTAATTTATAGGATAGCTCCATTGTAAATTACTCAACTTTAAAAACCAAATTTATTTGAAGGTTAATATTACATAGTATTAATCTTCAAAGCATTCAGAAACAACATTGGTGATCAATGAGCTGGTTTCCTGAGATAATCTCGGATAAAAAGAAACTTGTTCTGTTTAACACCTTATAAAATAGGAAGTATAATGCTTTAAGGCAGTGGTTCTCAAACTTCCTAATGCCACGACCCTTTAATACAGATCCTCATGTTGTGCTGACCCCCAATTTCATTGTTACAAATTGAACATAATTAAAGCATAGTGATTAATCACAAAAACAATATGTAATTATATATGTTTTCCGATGGTCTTAGGCGACCCCTGTGAAAGGGTCGTTCGACCCCCAAAGGGGTCGCGACCCACAGGTTGAGAACCACTGCTTTAAGGACAAGATCACCTACTTACTATGCAAATAGGCATATTTTGTGAATTTTTCATTATTTTATACATATATTAAAATTCAATGGTCAAACAAGTTGAGATATTCTGACCTTTATATTCTGGGCATAAACTGATGAAGACAGAAGTTGCTGCAACTTGTACTCAATAAAAAATTAATACAGCCCTGGCTGGGTGGCTCAGTTGGTTGGAGTGTTGTCCCATTCCATACACCAAAAGGCTGTGGGTTTGATTCCCAGTCAGGGCATGTACCTGCGTTGCAGTTAGATCCTCATCGGGGCACATGCGGGAGGCAACCAATCAAAGTTTCTCTCTCACGTCAATTTTCTCACTCTCTCTCCTTTCCTCTCTCTCTAAAGTCAATTAAAAAACAAACAAACATATCCTCAGGTGAGGATTTAAAAAAATTAATACATATATCATGTACTTTCATGCAACAAATTTTGTTATGAAAATGATAATAGAAACTACATTCTTTGGGATTCTACATAACTGAGTCAATTTGTCATTTTTATTTTCTTTCAATATATCAAACCTAAATTTATTTCCATACCTGTAATTTTCTAAAAATTATACTTAAACATATATCTTTACCATATTTTCTGTTGAATATTTCACTAATTATTACAATTCTTTTATCTACATCTATAAAAGGTTAATATGCTAAGTGTCCATCCAGGTAATGACATAACATAGCAACACCCGGCTTCCTCTCCCTAGCAACTACCGCCCTTGGAGTTTCTTCAGCCCAGGAATATGACCTGCTTTATAGCCACCTGGAAACATTTTACACTGTAACCAAGTGTCTGTGAAGCATTTTCCCATGCCTCATCTCATTTGATCCTCACTTAAGTCCCGGAGTAGGTAGATAGGAGTCTCTGCAGAATCCTATTTTCTTTTCATTAGCTGGGAAAACAGATTTAGAAAGCTTAGAAACTTGATCCGACTGAAAAGAAGTAAGAAATGGTGGACCTTAAAAATGACTTCAGGTTTTCTCACTGCGCAGAATATAGTCAAATACTGCTGCAATTAAATATTTTACCCTTTTTCTCCCTGCGTGATCTACAATAATCATCTGCTTAGTGTTGATATTTATTGCTGTTATGCTGACAATTACCTGAAAGAGAAGTTGGGGTGATTCATTGGGCTGGAAAAAGTTTAGCTAAATCAGAAAGCAGGTCTAATTAAGCAAGTTTATTCTGTATCTATAAAAGGCTAAGTTGACTCGCACATGCACGATGCATATAAAGCTCTTGCTGGCCTATTGCACGCATGTTTCTCGATCTGTCATTGTTGATTGTGAATTTGGCTGACACTTCTATTATAGAGAAAGGGTGAATAGCAATATTAAAATATTTCTTCTAATTAATTTTCTTTCAATGTGCACGAATTCATGCACTAGGCCACTAGTCATATGTAAGACAAAGAAGTAACATAAATAAACTCATGCATAAAGTACAATTATGATCTCATATAATTTTTTCTTCATATATTTAGTGGGTTCACAAAAATGAATCAGGAGAATCAAGACATTGGTGGGAACACAATCAAACAGTGACAGGAACTGGTTTGTTCTCTCTTCTCCTAACAGTCCCCTGCCCTATTTTAGTAGTTGATAGTGACTATTTGTCACCTCAGATGGAGGCAATGTCTATGTTGGCAGTTAAGCAGTGGACAATACAAAAGCAAAGCTAAGATCTGCCTGATCTGTCCTTCTCCAATACCAGAAGCCAGGTTATTTAGGGAGAGCAATTCCATTTATCTGGATCACTTAATTCTGGTTGCCAGATAAAATACACTAGGTACATTAAAATAAAAATGTCTTCACAATGATGGTCAAAATGATAGCACATGCTGCGTAATCTCTTTAGCTTGCTTATTTATAGTTTTCATGTATTCCTTTAAGTTCTAAGTAATGACTTTAAAAATTCATCAACCCTAAATGTTAAAAAGTATCACATATTTTACTTGCTTCAAAGTGCATTTCAGTATCTGCTCGTTGAATAAATGACAAAGCAAAATCTTATAAAAACTAATTATTGAGAAAAATCAATTCCACATCTGGAAATAATGTGCCTACTCAGGCACCCACTTGCCAAGCATGTATCAAGTACTAGTGACAGCATCACTGGAATGGCAGCATCACTGCTCCCACAAAGCTAACAGTCCACATGACTTATGTCCTCATATAGCCAAACACCAAATCATGTTCCTTTTTTTAAAATTCAAAAACTTAAAACTTAACAACAACCAGAAAACTACATCATAATAAAATTCAACTCCTGGGATTAATTCCTACAAATTATACAACATGTTCAAATTGTCTTTAAAGGAAAAGAAAATTATTATCACTAAAAGACATTTTTTAAAAAGGTATAGCAGTAAAGAAAAAGAACTTAAAACAGTTATCTCAAAAAAGAAACAATATAATTACTTCATTCAAAATAAAGATATATAAATTTATAATTTCTTTTATTAGCTGGTCTTAGGGAATAACCTTATAAGGGATGATTAATCATACAGGCAGCCTCCATTTAATTAGGATATAATACCTGTTCAATCTACCTTAAAATTTAAAGAGGATCAACTGAGATGTTACATATAAAAATGCTTCACAACCAATGAAATAAAAAAATACTACTCTCCAGGGCATGCAGGCAAATTCCACTACTCTCTCCTGAATAGCAAAAGCTAGCAAATTTTGCAGCTTATAAAAATACAGTAGAGATAACATTCAGGGGATGATTATTATAGCAGAGAGCAAACAGTGTGCAAAGAAGCACTCAAACTGATGGACAGAATCAAGCATATAAAGTACTTTAATATTCTAAAACACTCAAGAAGCCAACCTCGCCTTACAAAATTGATCCTACACACATTACTGATTCTGTTATGAGTTGCTGTATTTAGCAACTTCAAAACCTGCATGATAATTACATAATACTATCATATAGGTGATGTGAAATAATATGCTGTTATCTAAAATAGTTATGAAATTCTAAAATGTATAAATTTTAAAACCAGGAGAGAGCATTTTCAAGAGAAAAGAAGTCCTGGAAACGAAGAACAGTGCGGGTCTCTGTGTGGCATGTCTGCCTCTTCACCATCTGAATCCAGCCTTTAAAACGCAACAAGCCTCCCCGCTTTTGAGGCCATGGCACCTGTTATACCAACTTTCTTGTTACAACCCTCTGTATTACTTCCAGTTTGACAATCTTTACTATCTCACAGGATTTCCCTTTTTCAGCTCATCCTAGATTTCACACTTAACCTACTCAACACATAACCTTCACCTCCATTCCTCTTTCAGCAAAAGCACCAAGGGTCCTCCTCTGGACTCTCAAAATACACAAGCTCCCTCCAATCACAGACCTTCTACTGCTCTCTAGAACACTTTCTCCATCTCAGAGTAACTTACATGTTCTTGATAACCTGACTCCGGCTGCATGTCCCTTTCTACCTAGTCTGAACCTGACTAGTCATTTCCACTAGTTTGACCAATCACCCTCATATTCTTTGCTCCACAGTCTAATGTTTGGAAAATTCTAGATGAAACAAATGGGTTTTCTTAGAACAGAACTTTCTTGGTCTTAAAAAAAAGGATTTAGTATGCTGTTATTTCCCCAACCGAAATCATTTTTCCCCTCTCCTCCCAGAGATATAGAAGGACCAATGTCCAGAGTAGCACATTTCTGGAAACACATTTACTGACTAGTTCCTCCTTACTACCTCTCATTCACTCCCTACCTAAACTGCAGGCAAACTTTATTAGGTCTAATCACTGTATTAAAATGGATCCACTTGTTGATTCAACAAGGACATACTTATTGAGCATCTAGGAGGTGGGAACTGTTCTAGGTGGTAGGCAAACAGTGTTGGAAAAAAAAAAAAGACTCAGATTTCATGAAGCTTCTTCTCTTCTAATAGAAAAACATAAATCAAAACAATTAAATGTATGAAATGTCAGGTGGAGATAAGCGCGATGTAGAAAAATAGAGCAAAGGAAGGGGAAAGAGGACAGTCAGAATGCTATGTGTATGTGTGCTTGGGAAGAGGGTAGGATCAGGGAAAGCTGTTTTAATCAGAGACATTAGAGGCCTTAAGAAACACCATTCATCTACTAATTGTCGAATTCAAAGGCCTCTTTGAATCCTCATCCTACTAGATCTTTCTATAACACAGTGATGGCAAACCTATAACACGCGTGTCAGAGGTGACACGCGAACTCATTTTTTTGGTTGATTTTTCTTTGTTAAATGGCATTTAAATATATAAAATAAATATCAAAAATATAAGTATTTGTTTTACTATGGTTGCAAATATAAAAAAATTTCTACATGTGACACAGCACCAGAGTTAAGTTAGGGTTTTTCAAATGTTGACACGCCGAGCTCAGAAGGTTCGCCATCGCTGCTGTAACATCAGGCACTGCTGATCCACCCCTTCCACCTTGTCTTTAACGTCCTTTCTCTCTTGGCTTCAATGTATGTTTCTTCTAACCCATGTTTTTTCCGATCTGAAGCTAAGCAGAGTTTGAGCTGGTCAGTACTTAGACCTCAAGGAGTATCAGGGGTCACAGGCTTTTTTCTGGCACATAATGAATATTAGTTTCTCCCCTACTGGCCTTCCCTGACAATGTATAAATCTCTCCATTTCCCTTCCTGCTCAAACCTATAGCATCTGTTCTGCCCAAGTTTCTTTCTTCATCTCATTAAATATAGCTTTCCCAGGTGAATGCATCCATTTGCTATCTTTGCTATGCTGATGACTACTAAACTAAAAACTCCAGAGAGATACTTCCAAATACCTATGAGACTTTTCCACCATATATCCCCAAAGTATTGCACAAATACATTTGGAAAGCCACAAACTCATTACCTCATCTTCCAAACTTGGCCTTCTTCTTGGTTAAAGACATTAATACTACTTCTTAGTCCAAGCTAGAAAGCTGCTTTTGCTTTGATTCCTGTTCCCTCTCACATCCAGCAGTCATCTCTCATCTTTCCAGCTCAGAAATGTCTTCCAATCTATCATTTTTAATTCCTGCTTTTTTCTTAGTTCAAATTCTCATCATATATGTATTTTCAGCCTCTCCCTTCTCCTACTATCCTCCTGCTATGGTTATCTAGTGGGATTGCCCCCAGTCACTTCCAAGCACCCTGTTATATCTATACTGAACTACTCTTAACACCTCCTGTGGTTTTGTCCACCCAATAAACAAGTACTGAGGGGGCCTATGTAGTAGGCACTTCGCTAAATGCTTTATATATATTATGTCAGTTAATAATATCCTTCAGGCAGATTGGCTTTTAATAACTCCATTTTTTATAGCTGAGGAAACTGAGGTTCAGGTACAAATCATAGAGCTGGAAAGAAACAAAGCTAGGATCCAAACACAGGCCTCTCCAAAGCATTGGTTATTAAAATACCTAGCATCCAACTGAGTACCAAAAAACAATGAATGCTAGATATGTTAATAAAGGTAAGACTAAGTCAGTAAACTAATATGTGTTTAGACTAGGGAGAAACAAAACAAAAAAGAACTCTGATGAGACAGGATGGCTGCAGATGAAAAGCTTATGAGAGATTGGAACTGTCCCGAGTCTAGAACTACCTCTATTGCCCTTAGATACACCTACTAGTGACACGAGTTAGGTGAAGAGGAAGTAAAGGCTTTGCTCTAATTATCCACACAATGCAAAAGTGCTCAGATATAGTTTATAAAAAATCATGAGAAAGCATTGGTATTGAAATATATCGGTTTTGAAATACAGCGTTCATAATAGCTCATCTCTTGACACTCCCGGAAACATAAAGGTCCAGGAAAAGAAAAAATAATATAAGTGATATAAGATGCACATGCAAAGAAAGTTACAAGAGTATGACAACGAAATTTTTCAGGGGTCCATATATTTTCTGGTTTTACCATCGAGATTAGCCTGGTAACTGATTTCAACTAGAAACACTGGTCTAATGCCAACAGTACAATATTTGCTCAATTACTATGATATGTTAAGCAAACTCCTAAGATTTTCTACTGGAAACGGCAATATAATGCTTATTAGACAACTCCAAGATACTAGACATTAACTTCCAATAGAGCAAAAAAATTATCTGTCATTGTATCAATATTTATTAAATGAAGACACAGATGAAATTACTGAGTAGTAACCTTAAGACTCAAAGTTTTGATCTTGGCAAAGTATGACTTAAAAGGGAATGATTTTTTTAAAAAGAAGAAAAAAAAGGCACTGTCCTAACTTCAACAAGACTCTCAGCTTTTATTAGTTTAAACCATTTGAAATAATGAGTATTCAATTGTTTTGCCCTATGAAAAGAACGAAAACATCAAATGAAGAGTAAAGAGCACATATTGTTTAATATGTTGCATCAAACCTGAGCCCATAACATACTATACATATTACATCAGAATTCATGTATTTCTCCACCCATGTGAGTATTATAATAGGTTTTCATTATATTTTAAAAGCATTCTTAGTAAGATTTCAATAGTAATGTCTTGGCACTGCTAAAATATAAGGTTTGCCCAGCTGGTGTGCTCAGTGATTAAGCATCAACCTATGAACCAGGAGGTCATGGTTTGATTCCCAGTCAGGGCACATGCCTGGGTTTCAGCTCCATCACCAGTGGGAAGCATGCAGAAGGCAGCTGATTAATGATTCTCTCGCATCAAGGATGTTTCTCTCTTCCCTCTCCCTTCCCCTCTGAAATCAATAAAAACATATCTTTTAAAAATGAATATATATATATTCACTAAAATGCAGTCTCAATGAGAGCAGGGTTTTGACTTTTCTTTTCTTTTCTTTTCTTTTTTTTTTTTTTTTGGCTGCATCTCAGGGTCTAAAATAGTGCCTATCATAGACAGTCAGTTATCTAACAAGTATTTATTGATTCTGTCTTAGGTGCTTAGCATATATAAGTGAAAAATCAAATGAAGATCTTTGCCTGTATTACAAATGTTATTCAACATAAATGTTATTCAAAATAAAAATCTGCAGAGAAACTGTTCTAGGCACTTTTATGTGTATTATGATAACCTTGGGAGAATTCCAGAACCCAAGATCCTACTGTGCTATAATATTACCTACCACCTTTTAAAGTTCATTAAAAAAAAAAAAAAAAATGCCTCCAGGAGTCCTCTAAACAAAAGTATCTTGAAAGTAAGTATTGTCACTATAATTTTTATTTCATAGAAACTTGAATGATCTGCCCAAAATGACTTAAATAAGCAAAGAACAAGACCTTCATTTGTTATATACTGCAACTGCCCACAAATAGACATTTATCAGAATTCTTGATTCTCATCCTTCAGGTGTTTCCTATGCACCTTCCAATTCCCAGGCTATCCTTCATCAGAAGGATTAACCACAATTTGAAAAAGAATCTTGAAACTGTTGTTGCCAATGCTAGTTGGGTGTTTTCCTCCTTTGTTGTTTTTAGGCAAATACTATATTACAGAAGATAAAATGGGTAAAAAGAATAGAGAAAAAAAAGGGGGGGGGGAAGAAGTGGAAACAAAGGACAATCCGGAATCATGGTTACAGCACGAGGATAAACCCAAGATAAGGCATCAGTGTGGGCTCTTCTGCACGAGTGGAGTCGTCGCAAGTAAGCCCCGGACGCGTCCTGGTCATCTATTGTCCCGGCTCTCAAGCTGGCCGGGGCCACTTCCTTGGGAGATGCTCTTGGCATCCTTCCCTGAAGATGCTGTGGAGACGGACAAGCGGTCACCTAGGACCACTGGCCCAGGGAAGTGTCAGCAGCTCGCGGAGGGAGACACACCCAGGGCCCCGGCCAACGCCGGCGGTGGGGAGGCTGCGGACACTCGCGGAGGGTCCACTTTGCAAGGAAAATGAAATCGGGCCGGAGGCTGTGATCACCAGTAGGGCAGCAAGAGTCCGGCAAGCCCAGAAAATGGTCGCAAGGGACTCGCAGGCGTGCGCCAGCGGCGAATCAGGCTCCGGGTGGAAACCTCGGCTGAAGACCACACCAGGGGGGAGCCTGAAGGTCATCAGCCGCACAGCGTCGGGGGCTGTCGGCTCCCGCCCGCCCGCCCGCCCAGGCCTGCGGAGGCACCGCGGGGTCCGCTCCAGACCTGACCTCGCCTGGTCAGTACCAGCGTCCAGGACCCCGCAACTGTCCCGGGCCCGCTCCAGCCGCCCGGCCCGTACCCCCTCCCCCCTCACCTTCCAGTCCCTCCATCGCGCCGCCGCCTCGGGCTCCGGGACACTCCTCGGGCAGCGCCCGCCGCCGCCCAGCTCCCCAGCTCTCGCTGTAGCAACGCGGCCGCGCCTCCCACCCGCTAACATCCCGGGCTCCCATTGGCTGGCGCTGGGGGCGGGGCTTCACGGGGGCGGGGCTTGGGGCGCACCTCCTGCTGCCGCCGCCGCCGCTGCGCTGCTTCCCCCGGCTGGCGCCCTGGCGATCGGGCCGTAAACCTAACCCCGTGGAGGGCCTTCGCCGCCCAGCTCTGCCTTTGTTCCTCTCCAGCCTCGTTGCCCGCACAACTTGTCCTCCTGTTCACACGATCTCGGCACCGCATGGGCTCCGCGTCGCCCGCGCCTCGAGCAGTCGGTGCAGTTCTGTGTTCCCGCCGCCCCCCTGAGGTCTGTTTCAGCCCACCAGCTAACCGGGCGCACGTCCTGCACGCGGCTCACTCTCCATTTTCCGCCTTGTGGGCGCAGGGTTTGCCTGGAGAGCATTCTCTAGTCGCTGTCGCACAGCGTTCTGAACTGAGCCACCTCTTCCTCAGGTACCCACTTCTGTCCGGCGCGCAGAACTGAGATTTAGGGAGCACTTGAAAGCAGCTCCCTCACCTGCACCTCCTCTCGGCCACCAGGCCCTCCACTTGATCACCCTTGAGCTCAGAAAGCCTGCTGGCTGCACCACTAATGGGGCAGCACGCACATTAAGTTAAAGGGGCCACTGATCTGCACCTGACGAATGAGGCCTGTGGCTGTCGGTCATAACCAACTGGGAATGAAGGTGTCGATCCCCTAGAAGGGCTGTACCGGCCAAAATGGACTCCTTGTGGTTCACTGGGCCCAATCAAAATAATCAGACTTAGCAGGCATAGTTTGCAGAGAGCTCTCCTAAGGTGCATCTTCAACCCTAGCTGCACAGCAGTGTCCTCATATTTGCATCTTCACTGGCCACACAGAGTGGCTTTGGAAAGACCAAGCTGATGTGCAGTTCTGACCAATCAGGACAGTGCTCCCTGGACCAATCAAGCTGCAAATATAGACTCTCATTTGCATGAAAATGGACCAATTAGGGACCAGGGCTCAGAGCTCACTTTCCGGGTTTTCCACCTGAAGCTGGGATTCCCCGGGAAAGCCACAGAACTGCGTTTCCCCGCTTTGGAGGCTGTGTTTCCCTAGTTTGCACACTGTGCGTGCCAGACTGGGGGCACCTGTTGGCACTGGGTTGGTGCAGCTAACTTGTTGACAAAGGGAACTTCAAATCTAGCTAAGACCTTTGCTTAATAGTTTAACACATATCACCAGAACTACATTTCTGAGAAAATTTGATGTGGCAGAGATAAATCATATTGCTTGTTAACTTTAGTATATCTGCTGTGAAGTTATGTTTTAATATTATTTTCACAACAAATCTTACATTGATTTTTCTCATTCATCTATTCCATTGGAAAGTTTTGACATTACATCTAACTTTGTTTACTTGTGAAAAGTATGTAACTTACAAATAGTATGGATCTTAAGTAGCCTTTAGGAAGCAAAAGTCCTATTGTACTTGTACATTCAAATGAAAGTATTATAAACACACACCTGAGGGGGACATCAGCTCTTACTGGGAAGGTGCTCTAAGTGCATTTGAATGTGGTCTGGTCCATCTCTTACCTGCAGTCACATAAGGGAAACTTCAACCATGCCTGTCTAGACTCCTGCTCTTCCCCAGGCCCTGCTCCCATTCTCCTGCTCCTCCGAAATCTGAGATCCTGGCCTTCGTTGGCCAAACCGCAATCATGCTCGCCACTTAACACCCCTCCCTCTCCGTACCCCCATCCTTGACTTAGTGTGGAAATGACCTTTTCTCAGTGCTGCTAAGACAGAGTTAGAATTGGGGGAGTGGCAACTTTAAAATTAGCACTAACGAAGAAAAAAAGCACACATAGAAGAAAAGCCAAAGATAAAGAGGCGGTTTACAAATTACAAGTTCTTGGACTGACGTCAAGACAGAGTTTGAATTAGTTGACTTACACCTTATTGGGCATAAAAGCTATAGTAACAACAAAACAATAATAATGATAACAATTTTAAAAATCACATTAGGCATGTTTTACGTCTTTTTCGTGTATTTACTTATTTCATCTTAAAAACAGTTCTACAAATAGGAACAGTAAACCCTTGATTTAGCGAACCTCGATTTCACAGACTTTGGATTTAATGGACAAAACTTCTGGCCCATATTTCATATGTGAAAATTAAGACCCTGTTAATTTTAAAATGCTTTTAACCAAGATTTGCTTATAATTAAATTAACAGGTTGTTTTTGTTTTTGTTTTGTTATAAATGAACTGTTACTTTGAACAACTTTTAGAAAATATTGCTCATTTACAACCATAGTCTACATATTTAAATCCAAGTGTCACTGCTTGTAAACAATGTCCTGGGAATGATTAGCACCTGATCACACTGCACCTGGAGTGGTCATTGGTTCTGCTGCCCCATGGGCTGGCTTTCTGCAGCAGCATGTTCCCACAGGTGCTAAGCCACACACCACTCTGTGCATTTGTTTACTCCCAGGGACTGGTGACTGCACGCATTTACTAGACTTATTCACTGTAAATTTAAAATTACTGCAATACATCTAGAAAACTTTGTGAAATCAATCTTTTCATACATACTTAATTTAATTACACAAACATGTGCATAAGTGAAAACAGGTAAACTAATTTGTCAAATGTTTAACATATGCATTTGGAAAACCTACTTTATTATATAATGGTCTTTAGGCTTTAATGGACACCCCCTACCTGAATTAGTCTGTTATATCAAGGTTTTACTGTAATTTTCATTTTTTAGAATGAAAGTCTTCATTTCTTAGATATCTCGGAGAGATTACATTTTTTTCGCCGCTGTTTATACTACTGAATGGTAGCTTGGATTTAAACTCTGGTCTGGCTGATTCTACCGTATGACAATTTCATGGGATTCCTCACCTCCTTCCTCATCTTGCATTCTAGCTGCCTTGAATGTAAAGCCAAATGTTCAGAAATGCTACTTAAGTGCCATTAGGGTAGTCATTACTCCTGTGAATCTTAATTCTCTAAACCATGCCTGCCAATTTCCTCCGCAGGATTGGGCTCCCGCACTTCGATGCTACAACTACCCTGGCTGCTGCACCTTTTCTCTGGCCTGGCCCCTGGGTGCAGAGGACAATATCCTATCTGCTGTCCTGAGTTCCTTCCTCTGCCTCCTACAGGCGTGGTCTGAGAGTCTTTCTGGTCTTAGTGTTTTCTTCTGAGTTTACATCTCCTCTGATTCATTCCATTTTTCTGATGTATTCATTCAACAAATATTTGTTGAGTACCAATAATGTTTTAGGCCCTTTCGTTACTAGCCAGTTACAGAAATGAATGAAGCTCAGTTTCTTCTCTTATGTTCCTAAGTTCTTTCCTGTTCATATTTTTAGCTGACAAGTTATCTTTGTAACTGATGATAACTTTCCTAGATGAATATGTATTAGAGATCGTCCCACCTCATTCTACAAAAAAAGGAAGCAAAGGTTCAGGGATAGTTACTGACTCAACCCAGATCCCAAGACTAGCAAGTAGCTGAAATAGATATTGTAACCTTTTCTTAGTATACTAGAGGCCCGATGCACAAAATTCATGCAAGGGGTTTGGCCCCCCGCTGCCACCACGGCAGCCTCTACCTCTACCCCCGCCTGCTGCAACTTTGGTCCAGAAGGATGTCCGGAAGGAGGTCCAGGCTAATTAGAGTATTACGCTTTTATTATTATAGATCATTCTTTCCACTTTGCCTTCTTTTCCATTCAATCACCATTCCCTGGAGCCAGTCCACATCTTTAGTGCACCTTCCAAAGGGCCGAGCAAGCTACATATATCTTCTGTTTCAAAGCTCCAGCTTCCTGTTGTTCTTACACACAGATCAATTTCCCTTTCAGAGACAACCTTTGGCTCTCATTCAAATTGCGAAACACAAGCTAAATGAGTTTTTCAATCTCAGTGAGAATCTTACGGAAGTTTATCAACTCTGCTACGTGCTGTGTCTCTTCCTTCCACAGCCTATAGAGGAATAACCCATCACAATTTAGTATGTAAAAATGAGTTCATACATTTAATAATCGTAACAAGATGATAATTTTTATCAAAAATAAAAGAAACACATTTCCCTTAAATGTTGGGAGAAGGAGCTGTTTAATAGTGATTGAGGAAGCACGTTGAGTTGGCTCTTAGCTTTATTTTGTAAATTGAAGTAAAAACAAAATTCTTTGAGTGTTCAGGGAAATTTTAGTGATAGTCCTGAAGAAGAAAACAGCAAGAGAAGAAAAAATAGAGGAACCTAAAGCAAAGTTCATCTCCTTCATTGATTGGAGGGCTACTCTACTCACAGTGTGATAACGATGATCCTGTCTTTCTCCAGAAGGAACCCTCCTCCTCCTCAAAACTAATCTCCAGCTGCAAAAGGAGACATTTTATCAGCCTTCAGGTATGATCCCATCCCCCATACCTTGCCACCACAATTCCAAATCTCAACTGAAAATCTATGAATCCAAATACTTACTGAGATACTTCTATGTACACAACAATGTTCCTTCCCCACAGGAAGCTCCAAATACGTTTCTCTGGTCCCTAGGAAGTTAACAACTAGTAGTGAAACCCCGGGGAGAAGATATAATAAGGAGCAATAGGGAACAATGTATTTGACATATTATTAAGACTTAGAGTAATTGGTTTCAGAAAGATATTTACATCAGTGGAACAATTTAAAAGGTTTAATAGATATGTGAGGAAACCAAGATGGCAGCATAGGTAAACACCTGAAATTGCTGCCTCGCACAACGACTTCAAAAATACAACTAAAAGACAAAACAAACATCATCCAGAACCACAGGAAGGCTGGCTGAGTGGAAATTCTACAACTAGAAGGAAAGAAAAAAAGCACACTGAGACTGAGGAGGTGCGGAAGTAAAGTGCAGAGGTACGGAGGCGCGCGGAAAGGGCTGGCAAAGGAGGACGCTGGCAACAGAGGATGCTGGTGTCTTTTTCAATCGGGAGTGAGTCTCAAGCTCCCAACGGCTCTGAACTCCAGTGCCGGGT